CTGAGTATAGACAGGCTGGCTTACGGGAAGACTCAAACACAGGAATGCACATATTTTAAGAAATATGGGTACACCAACTTGACAGAAAGCAGATTTTCAACGTAGAGAAGTTTAAAAAGTTGGAAAAGTAAGATGAAGCCAGATCGAGAGGGCTTACATAATAGGCTGAGGAATCTGCATTTAATTCCTTAAGCTCTGGGGACACGCCTAAAGTTTCTGCACAGGGAAATGACAATGATAAAAGATAAGAGGAAATTAATTCATCAAGAGATTAATAGGGACTGAAAGTATAAACTATTTCAGTAGTCTAGACTTTAAAAAGGGATGGAATAGAGAGTTAGCAATGGAAATGAAAGTGAGAGTCATAATGAAGAAAGAGTAGGCAAAATTTAGATTCTCATTGGACCTAAGGGAAAAGATTCAAAGATGACACTAGAGTTTCAAGCCTGGAAGAGGGTTAACACAATTAAGCAAAGAGGACATCCAAGTAGGGGCTGGTTTTAAAGAAGATGCTAGCTTTAGCTTTAGATGTGCTAAACTAAAGAGAAAAAACAAAAATATACAAGATGTTGAAATGTTCACTAGAAATAAAAGATTGGTATAATTAGCAGTATAGCCAACAAAGACAGAATAAAATTGTTAAAGAAATAGTAGAAAAATCAGTAAAACACAATGTCTTCATAGTCAAAAAAAGGATAGTTATTTATTCTTGTAGCAAAAGTTTATTAAGCACAATGTTCCAAGGAAGGCGTCAAATACTGTAGTATCTCAAGTAACAGAAAATGGTCTAAAAAAAAGGTCATGCGTGCAGTGATTAGATCATTGCTGACCTGGGAGGGGGAGAGAAGCTTTTCACTAGAGCAGATCTATATAATGAACACGCAGTGAAAAAAAGAGATGCAGAGAGCAAAGACCACTCTCATTTGAGGGTGTAGCAAAGTCCAAGCTGAACCTGCCTGTGGAGAAGCGGATGAACACGGCGAAGGGGTTCTGAAGGAGGTAAGGGTTGGATTAGACCAAAGGCCCCACAGGGAGGGTTTTCCTGGCAGAGAGCTACTGCTTCCTCTGAGACAGCAGGGAAGACAAGAAAGATGTGAAGTGATGTGGCTCAGAAGGTGAGAACGTGGGCTCTGGAGACAGACGACCTAATTCCAAATCCCAGCTCTGCCGATTCCCAGTTATTTACTCTTGAACAAATTATTTAACCTCTCTCTGTTTCAGATTACAGGTGATACAGGCACCTACCTCATACAGCTTTTGAGAAGATCAACTGAGCTAGTACATATAATGCCCTAGTAACAATGACTGGAATATAGTAAGTGCCCAAGAAATGTTAGAAGTTATCACTATTATTAGTCTATGAGACAACTTTGCCATAAATGAGTGACAGGGCAGAAAGCAAAATTTTCAACTGAAAAATAAAATATGAGATAGAAAACAAGCAGTATTTAATAATTTCATAAAAGAGATCTACTACCTAAGAACAAGATTACCTTCTTTTTTATAGATCCACTTACTTGTTTAGATCGATGTCTTTCCCCTGTTCGTGTGCTTCAATTAGTTGTTTAATAACATCTCCTATGGTCAGCATCATTAGCTCAGCAGGGCTGAGATCTCCTGGAAAGACAATGTTTAACAATGTAAAAAAATCACATTATTCAGTAAAGATTTTTGTATATATTAGCAGTTTTCCTTCCAAAATCATTCCAACCATGCCAAATGAATAGCTCAAGTTCACAAGACATTCAATCTCCATTGTTTACAATTTGATCCTATCTTTTGTATCTTTAACTTAAACAAACCTGGCTTCACTTACATATGGGAAGAGCTCACTTTAGAAGCACATGCAGCAAGAAAATGATAGATACAGAAAAGAACAGAGACAAACAGGAGAAAGAACCTAATCACATAGGAAAGCACCAAAGTAGTTAAAATAGCTTCCCTTTATCTCCAGTTTTGTAATTACATTTAGATGCATTATTTCATCTGATTCTCAGAATGGTGTAAAATAGACAGAACAGCATATTTGCCTGTCCCATAAAAATGCTACCAAGGGGTGAAGCTGAAACTCAAATCCAGGTATCTGCAGAAGCAGTACTACAAAGCAATGCAGTATTACTTTGTAACACAAAGGACATGGGCTCTATACTTGTCTAAGGATCTTAACCTCTAAGATACAGTATAGTCTGTCCACCATCATGACCTTCTCCTGGCAACTGAGGCTCCCCTGCTCATCTCAAAGGCAACAGCAGAAGCTGACATGCTCTTACATGATCTCATCCCCCCAATTACAGTTGACTGGTTCAAGGATGGGCACCTATCCAAGTCAGGCCAATCTGAGCTCTTTTCCTCAAGGCAAAAAAACCCCAGTCTCTCTCCAGTGAGAAAAGCTGAGATTTCAGCTTGGGAGCTGCTAGCAAGCATGCTTCCTGCCTGTAAAGAAAGCTGGGGTACAAAAATAACGAAGTCATCAGAGAGAAGCACAGATGAGAAAGGCCTGGCAGTTATGGAGCCCTTTCATTTACTTCATCTCATTTGAAACCTCACAACAAGACTGGAAGTTAGGTATTGTTATCCCACTTTACAGATGTGAAAAATTAAGGCAAGTTAAGATGCCATTGTAAACGGTATAGTTAAGACTCAAATCCAGGTCTTTTCTCCACAACTTCCATGCTTTTTTCACTGTACCAAGCCGCCTCCAATTTAATGAGGCAAGGTTAACACATACAAAGCAATCTGAGAGAAAAAAATGTTCACCTATAACTAAAGGCTAAACGCTTTTCAAACCATGTAACTCAGCACTTCAGAGCTCCACAAAGGCACCTCGGGGGCCATGTAACAGGGGTAGGGCTGGCGATGGTGGTGGAAGAGGAAGGGGGAGGGGGAGAGAAAGAGGAAGGCTAAAGAGGGTCTCTTTCTCCATTTCAACCAAACAGCTTGGCTTTCATCTATTTATATATTGAGGTTCTGCATAAGAATTTATTTGGAGGGGAAAAGGGGACTCAGGTGATAAAAACAGAATAGATAAAGATTTAAAAACCACTTGTCTTAAGAATTAACTGGAGAAGTAAACTAGTAAGGAAAGGCATCGTGGAGGAAACGGCACAGGGGTCTTTAAAGAAAAGGGCAGGATTTGACCAAGCAAAACAGAGTACAATCCAGAAGAAACAATGTTGGAAAGAGGAATTACCTATTGCTGTACGAAGGTGTGTCATCTAACTAGAATACAGGGCTTCTAACATGGCTCAGTAAAGAATAGATTACAGGGTACATCAGCCACTAGGCAAACGGATTTAAATGAAATGCAAGAGACAGTGGAGAACTACATATTCTCAAGTTTGGGAGTAAAAAGATGAAATTAGTTATTTAAGAAAATTAGTACACAAAATACACTAAAGAAAATGAGGATACAAAAAATGATTCAGAAGATGAAAAAAATACATACTATCTGGATACTAAGTAAAAGCCTCTTGAAAGGCAACATTGTAAAAAAATCCCCACAAGATTTATAGTAAAAAAGTTGGATAATAGGCTCCTCTCCCTAGCTCCCAACTCCTACAGGATGCGTGATAATGGGAAGATCAATGAATTCTGACCTCCCATTTCCTTGCCTGCATAATTGGCAAAATACATACACATCTCATAAGACCACTGTAAGAATCAACTGAAGTAATGTATATGAAAGCCAAAGTACTATTCAAATATTAGTTACTGATGAAGGCAGGTTAGGAGAATGGTGGCTGGAATGATGAGAAATAAACTATTTCAAGAGGTGATTTCTAAGTAAGAACTAACAAGGTTTGGTGATAGATGAAATTAAAAGTGTAAAGCTGTCTGGCCTGACAGACTGAGGTGGAGCAAGTTAGAGGAAGAAGACAAATTAATTTGAGGCATGTAGAGTTTGATGCCACAAGAGAACTGAATGACACTTGCAGCTGTTGCTCCAAGAAATTGCAGTTTATGCCAAGAGGCATACTGATTAAGGACAGATTTATTTTTAATTTTATGGTTTTTGGGTTCACAGAGACAGCCTGACCAACCAGTTCCACTTCCTAAGTATAATTTTGGGCTGGGAAAGCAACTTAACTCTTTGAACCTCAGTTTCTCCATCTGTAAAATGGAGATGATATCGACTCCAGAATTAATAGCAAAGGCTCAATAAATAGTAGCTATTATTATCATAACCATCATTATTATTAGGCCCACTGCTCAAATGAGTGCACAGAGATAAGATTAGAACCTGTGAAAAAACACTAGAAATCTGACTCCATCCCGTCGAAAAGCTAAAGATGGAATTGCTGCATTCTAACTTAGGAGGTAATACAAATGAGAATAACTGAATAATTGTCCCATAGAATCCAACAATACTTTAGGGTCTTTCTTCTTTCTTAACTTAGGATTTAAAAAAAAAAAAAACGTGAAATGTGTCCTAAAACAAATCTTAGCAAACTACAATCCGAGAACGCGTTAAATCGACCGACCACGTTAGCTACTTGGAGGGCATACCCTGGAATAAAGCTTTTCCTGCCACTTACGCAAAAGACATCAAGTGACTGCCAAAGAGGAAGAGCAAGGGTAGGTTGGTTTAAAAACCACAATAGGTAAAACGAGAAGGCAGGGAGCCAACAGACAGGCTGACCCCAGGCGGCGGGGCGACTGGACCAGGCAGCGGATTCCGCGGGAAAAACTGGGTTCAGCATCTGACCTTCCAGATGTTGGCCCCTTCCCTACTACTCCCCTTCCCCCTCTGCCTCTCCCTCCCTTTCGCACCTTTCCGCTTCTGCCTCATCGCTCAGCTGTCGCAGCAGCCGTCTCCACAGATAATGTAGCTACCGACTCAGACCACGGGGAAAGTTGACAGCCACAAAGCAACCCCGGCCTGTCGTAAAAGGACGGTCAGTGTATCGTAAAGCTGTTCCCAGAAAACGGCGAGCGCCAAGGTCCGCCCGCCCCCCAGCGGCCGGTCGCGGAGCCGCAGGAGGAGGAAAGCCGTGGCGGAGGCGATCCTGCCGGGGGTCGAAGGGCTGTAGAGTGGGAGCGTCTGAATGCAATGGCAGCTGGGCCTTAGAATGCTCGACCTGGACGGTATAGCGACAGGACAAAGCTTATGTACAGAGACTGCGCCAGGAAGCCTACATGAGAGAGTACAGGGTATAGGAGCCCAGGGGGCGTCACGTCACGGGGCTAGGCGGGAAGGGGAGCGGGAGATCGCGGGAGGAGAGCCCGCTAGTCCCAGTCAGAGCCCGGGAGAGACCGGCAGCATCGAGTAACAGTGAGAGGTGCAGGCTTTGACGCCAGTGGTCACCGTGGTCTCCGACGAATGGCACGCATCGTCGATGGCCATCGTGAAAGCTACGGAGGTCTCTCCAGAAAAACGCGCACACGCACGAAGTTTGGCAGAGGTTGGAGGCAGGACTTGGGATAACCCATCTATGATCTCCGTTGTTCATGGACCAGAAATTAAGAACCCCTCTCATTACATAAAGCCAGGAAAACATGCTGTTTCCAGTTCCTCACTTCCCACCAGAATTGACGTAACTCCAAGTCTTTGACCCCACCACGATACTGAAACTGCCCCGGTCAGCTTTTCTGCCTTCCTCAGGCCGAATTCAGTGGTAGTTACCTGTCCTTGTCATCCTAGTACTAACTGACATGAGTTAGCTTCCTTGAAAGTCTTTCTTCTTAGGACCCTCCACACTCTCTTGATTTCTCTTCTACTTTTTCTCAGTCTCTGGTGAACTCCTCGTCTACCTCACCTCAAGGTATTGGTGGACCAGAGGCGTCACTTCTCAGCCCTGTCTTTCAGGGTTGTCCCCAGAGCACCATAGCTTTAAATACCGTCTATCTCCTCCCATTTTTATAGTCCAGCCCCAACTTCTCCCCTGTTTGATATCTTGTTAGATCTGGGCGTCTAATATGCATCTTGAACTTAACATGTGCAAAACAGAACTCAGTTTTTACTCCAAATCTGTTCTCTCCCCCCGCTCTTCCTTACCTGAGGGCACTGTCATCCACCTCATCCCTCTTTTACCTCACACAAGAGAAAGATCGAGGTGGGTAGGACAGCTGTAAATTTTAAACAGGGCTTAGGATAGGCCTTACTGGGAATGTGATATTTGAGTTAATACTTGGTAGGCAGGTATCTGAGGGAAGAGTGTTTCAGGTAGAGGGAACAGTTAGCACAAAGGTCCCAGGACAAGAGGATGCCTGGTGTGTTAAAGGAAAGTAAGGAGGCCGGTGTCAATGGAGCAGTGAGTGAGGGGAAGTGTACTAGAGGTCAGAAAGGTGATGGGGTGGGACACAGTGCAGCTCCTATGAGACCTAGTCGGCCATCATAAAGCTTTGGCTTTTACTCTAAGTGACTTGGGGAGCCATTGGAGAGTTTTTAGCAGAGATATGATCTGATTTCTAATTTTAAAGTATCTCTTTTTGCTGTGTTTAGAATAGACTATAGGCCCTATAGGGGGCGAAGGACAGAAGCCGGGAGATCAGTTAGGTGGTTATATCCTACCTATACTGGTAGTTCTCAAACTTGGATGCACTTTAGAATCACCTAGAGAGTAGTGAAAAATCCCGGTGCTCAGGTCCCACCCCATACCAATTAAATCAAAATGTCAAGGGATGGGAGCTAGACATTAGTATTTTCTAAAGATCCTTGGGTGGTTCTAGTGTGTAGCAAAGTTTGGGAACCACTGATCGAGGCCAGAGATGATTTAGACTCAAATCTGGGTAGTAAGCAGTGGAGGTGGTGAGAAGTGTTCAGATTCTGAATATATTTTGGGGATGTCAGTAAGACTTCCTGACAGGTCAGGTGTGGGATATGAGAGAAAAAGAGACATCAAGATCAAGGGTGACACTGAAGCTTTTGGATCAAGGGACTGGAAACACGTAGTTGCTGTTTGCTGAAATGGAGGAGACTGTAAGCGGAGTGGGGTTGTGAGGGGGTCCGTCTGGACATATGTTTGGCATGCCTAAGACATGAAGAAAGTTGGGACTGGAGATACCAATCGAGAGTTATAGGCATGTAGGTGAAATGTAAAGCTATGAAATAAGGTGAATGTGGAAAAGAAAGAGAAGAGACCAAAGACTAAGCTTTGGGGCCTTCTGTTATTAGCAGGATGGGGAGAAAAGGAGTACCAACAAAGGAGGCTGACAAGGTAGGAAGAAAACTAAGAGAGTGTGTGTACCTGGAAGTCAAGAGAAGAAAGTGTGTTAAGGAGGAGGGACTGATCCAATGGGTCAAATGCTGTTGATGGGTCGAGTAAGATGAGTGTTGAAATTGACTAGGATCGTTGGGGCCTTTGACAAGGAGAGTTTTATGGAATGGTAGAAGTGATGGCCTGACTAGAGTAGATTTATGATAGACTGAGAGGTGAGAATTTTGAGACGGTGAGTTTAGACAACTCTTTTGAGGAGTTTTGCCACGAAGAAATACAGAGAAATGGGGTAGTAGCTGGCAGGGTAACTGGGGTCAAAGGGAGTGTTTGTTTGTTAAAACGGGATAATTAACAGCAAGTGTGTATGCCGATGAGAATAGTCCAGTGGAGAGTGAAAATTAGATGAATTAAGAGAAGAGAGGAAAGTACTCTATCTAGTCCTGCAGCTGGAGAAAAGGGATGGAATCTGGTGGACAAGAGAAGGGATTAGCTTTGGCTGGGCGCATGGACAGTTCATTCATTAACAGGCTGGAAAGCAGAACATGTGAGTGTAGATTCTGATAGGTGGTTGCGTGTGATGCTGGGGCTCTGTGGAAGTTCTCTTTCAATTGCTGCAGTTTCTTCAGTGAGTTCAGTGAAAATTCAGCCTGGTAGTTTGTCCAGACTTCCAACAGACCTACATTCAGGTATCCAAAGAGTGTCAAAGACCACCATAAAGAACCCAGGCAGCTTTAAAAATGATCAGAGTTAATTTTAGTTTTTGGGTACTTAAGTATTATCTCTGACTAAGAATATAGTTAACTGTTGAAGTAAAGAAACAGCCAGTAGAGGGAGAGCTAAGCACGTGGGACATGAATATAAGTTTAAGGTGTGATTTTGCCCAGCGAGGTAAGTAGAAGACCCAACACTAATGATGACATTCACTCTGATTTTCTTGTTTTGAACTTTATGTTGGTATTTCTATGGTTTTCTGATGGATGAGGCACACCATCTTGCCAAAAGTTCAAAGCAATTTTTAAGGTCACACTCTAAATATTTATCTTCAGTGCTTTTTGACCTCTTTGCTTTCTGGATCCCCACTTTAGACTAAAAACATACCTACAGTTACTGAGGCTTGTCCTTGTAATGACGGAGCCTGTCTTTGAAGGTCAAACACTACCTGAAGCTGAAGGCTAAAAAAATAGGTTTTTACCTGTACTTGATGTGATTAATGGGTCGCCAGACACAGCAAAATGGAGTATGTTCTACTTTCTTCTCTCCTGGACAGCGATTCAAAAAGATTAGTTTTTCTAAAAAATATAGATGTAAAATTTAATTTCCAGAAAGAGTTATTTAAACTTTATGACCCTCATTTGTACAAACAATCCAATGTTGTTTGGTTTGGGGTGAATTTCAAGACTGTGTATCAAGAGTCGTTTATCTTCACCATCTCATATCATCCATCTCTCCCAGTTGTCTTGTGTTGGGGGATGTGAGAACCAGCTTTGTCTCTTTTGGCACTGGGGAGTTTTTCCTATCTGCTCAAATAAGTCAGATGCATCTGAATAACTTTCACCCTCAAAAAAAGGATGCTGTAGGGTGGATGATGCAATCTCTTTGGAGAGGAAAAATGACCAATATCTGCCTGCTTGTAGGAATAAGGCAGAGAAGGATGTAAGATCCCCAGTTTACATACAAGTAAAGTTTAAATAAAAGAGCGAAAATGGAACAAGTCAATTTCTGAGGGAGGAGATTGTCATAAATAGCCCTCTGATGGCAAATCAGTTTCACTTCTGCTTGTGTAAATGTGGGTTTGTGACTGGCCACGAAGGGCTATATAGCTCAGCTGTTTCCACGTATCTACACCAAGGCAAAGAAACTGCCACCATCTCCTTTGCAGACTCCTGGAGCCAAACGGAAAAAGTAGTATCTGGTAAGTTGTTTCTGTTATGTTATGTATGCTGTAACTTATGGTTGATTAAAAAAAATAGACTTTAGATTTACAGAAAAATTGAGAAGATAACACAGAGAATCTTCATATAACCCACACTCAATTTCCTCTTTTATCTTACATTAATATGGTACATTTGTTATAATTAATGGACCAATATTTATAACATTATTATTAACTAAAAGCTATACTTTATTCAGATTTTCTTAGTTTTTATCTAATGTCCTTTTTCTTTCCTTTTTTTTGTGTGAGGAAGACTGGCCCTGAGCTAACATCTGTTGCCAATCTTCCTCTTTTTGCTTGGGAAAGATTGTCCCTGAGCTAATATCAGCGCCAATCTTCCTCTATTTTGTATGTGGGATGCTGCCACAGCATGGCTTGATGAGTAGTATGTAGGTCTGTGCCTGGGATCCAAACCTGTAAACCTTGGGCCACCAAAGTGGAGCTTACAAAATTAACCACTATGCCACTGGGCTGGCCCCTCTAATGTCTTTTCTCTGTTCTAGGATCGCATCCAGGATCTGACATTACATTGTCATGTCTCCATAGGCTTCTCTTGGCTGTGACAGTGTTTCAGACTTTCCTTGTTTTTGATGACCTTGACAGTTTTGAGTAGTACTAGTCAGGTATTTGAGGAGTACTGGTCAGACATTCCACCGGATTCATCTCTATTGAGATTCGTTTGTTTTTCTCAGGATTAGACTGGAGTTATGGGTTTAGGGGAGGAAGCTCCCAGAATTAAAGTGCCATTCTCATCACATCATGTCAAAGGTCTGTACTGTTGACATGGTTTGTGATGTTGACGTTGGCCTGGATCACCTGGCCGAGGCAGCGTCTGTCAGGTCTCTCTGCTGTGAAGTTACTCTTCCTCCCTCCTTTCCTTACTGTCCTCTTTGGGACGAAGTTGCTCTGCAAAGCCCACCCTTCCGGACAGGGAAGTTATGCCCTCTCTCCTTGAGAGTGGACTAGCTACGTAAATTATCTGGAATTTTTCTATATGGGAGATTTGTTTCTTCTCCCTCTCTTGACTTTCTTACAGTAAATTATTCCTTGAGAGAAAGTGTATTCTACTTTCTTGTTTGTTTAAGAGAATTTTAAGGCTTTGTAAAGGCCAGTGAAGTAGAAATCTGGAGATTCAGGGTTTAGTTTGAATTTTACTTAAGAGTGTGATCATTGGCAAGTCACTAATCATTCCTCCCCAAAGAAAACAGCTATCGCAGGCATCCTTGGGGGTAGTATTAATGTCATCTTATGCCTCATTAACTTTTGGCGAGCTTTGGGGGAGCAACATGAGAGGATTCAAATTCATTTCTTTAGAAGCTGATAAAGTATGTTATGAAAATATCTGCTTATTTTACTTACCTTTTCACCTGGGGGAGAAAGACAGAGAAAATCATGTCGTTCCAGTACCTCCTTTATTTTATCTGCCTCCAGTGGCTGCGCTTCTAATGTTGCACATATCAGCTTACATGTTAATGCTGAAAACATAGCTCTTTTCCTTTGGGAGTTTGACGGCCCTTGTTTCACTTTTAGTTCTGAGTTAATGCATTTAAATTGCTCCTTTGGAACATAGCTAGTTTGGAAGAGCAGTGCAATGTCCAATGAGGTGGTTAAGAAGTGTTGCCAACACCAAAGTTACTCAAAACTTAAAACGAAAGGAAATAAATCCTCAATGTCATCAACATTCTATCATTTTATTAAGAGGCCTCTCCTTATTTCATACTTCAGCCCACCTCCCTGTGGGAGGGGAGGAGACTTTACCAAGGACTCTTGAAGGAAGAGGGGATAGAGCCCTCAAGGTGATTGATCAACAGGGACAAGAATGGGAGTCAGTTTATCAGTGAAGGTGGCATATGTACTCCCCAAACTAAATAGACTTGGCCCAGGTAAATATAGTATTGATTTCTATTTAACTGTCTTCACCAAATATTCTAAAAATAAATAATGTTTGTATGGATGCTTAAGTGCCTATAGAGCACCTTTGCATGCGATATTACATTTAGTCCTCACAATGAACTCTTGATATAGGTGTTTCACCTTCTTATTTTGTGTGTGGATAAGCTGAGGCTCAGAGAGGTTAGGTGATTTGTTCCGTGTTACATCGAGATACTGGAGCAGGATCCAAAACCCAGGCATTCTGACTCCAAATCCTGAGTAATTTCCACTTCCCTATTCGCAGTCGGGACTGAAAGCCCTCTGTGTACAGACACCTCACCCATTTTGTTCCTGATGTATCCCCAGCACCTAGAACGGTGCCTGCTACATAGCAGACACTCAACAAATATTTGTTGAATGAATGAATATAAGCCTGCCATTATTAATCTTACCATTTAAGGTGGATTTAAAATACACACTTTATTCATTCAACAAATATTTATTCAGTGCTTGCTATGTACCGAGCACTTCCCACATCTATCAAAAGTGGGGGAATAAACCAAAGTTAATGATCAAAATGCTCCTTAAAGGAATTTTGCTTGTTTAAGAACTTTGGGTTTTTTCCTGTTAATGATGCCTTGGGGCTGGGGTCGAGGCAGGAATGAGAGGAAAGCAAAAATAATGTTGGGAAGGGTTAAGGATGTGAAGCAAGGTAGGGTGAGATGAAATTCTGGTAAAGGAGAGGAGCTAGGGGAAGAGAAGAGGACGTTTGTAATTCTTTTTTTTTTTTTTTTTTGGAGGAAGATTAGCCCTGAGCTAACATCTGCTGCCAATCCTCCTCTTTTTGCTGAGGAAAACTGGCCCTGAGCTAACATCCGTGCTCATCTTCCTCTACTTTATGTGTGGGACACCTACCACAGCATGGCTTACCAAGCAGTGCCGTGTCCACACCCAGGATCCGAACCTGTGAACCCCGGGCCGCCGAAGCGGAATGTGCACACTTAACTGCTCCGCCACTGGGCCAGCCCCTATAATTCTTAATACACATTTGATTCTGCATCAGACACTGATGAATGCAGTGAAAGTGTACTACTCAATCTCCCTCTCTGTCTCTCACACACACCCACACCCACACACACACAAACAACACACCCTCACTCTGGCTTGTTTTACTTCTGAGGGCGTTGAAGAATTTTCAGGCAGTAGCTTCAGTTTGAGTCCCTAAGTACAATTTTATCAAGTGGCTCCTCTCTCTACTCACCAGCCTTCATTCCCCAAATGCCTTTGTCACACATTTGAGGGAGCCCCTCATTTGTGGGCACTGTTCCTCCATCCTCCTTCTCTTAAGCTCCGGAGGCTTTGTTTAGATAGTATCTATTTGAGGCTGCTTGATGAAATGAAGGGAACACTGAACTTGGAGTCGCTATGTGACCTTGGAGGAGTTCCTTCTCCGCCCTGGGCCTCAGGGTCCATGTCTGTAAAAGGAGGGGCTGAGAGCATTCTTTATTCGTTTCCACCATGTGAAGCTGTACTGATGTAGGAATGACTATTGCATTTGTGTGACCTCTGTTATGTTATTTTAAGAAAAAAGACAGTAAGCAAACACAAACAGAAGAAAGAGAGAGTGAGAGAAGCAAGAATAACTGTCAAAAGTCGCAATTCTTTAACAGGAAACTGGTTCTGTGCAACCTTCCCATATCTGGCTACATACGCAGAGAGTCTCATTTAAAAGGTGCTATTCTTAGGCTCAGTGCACAAGAATGTAAATAAGTACTAAAAGCAAAACTTAAGTGCTAACCACATGGTTGAAATGCAAGTGAAATAAACCACGCATGAAAACCTTGCCTGCATGAGCAATAAATTTGGACTGTTTTCAATTGCTTCTCCCCAGAAACCAAATTTTCGCAAAATACACCACCATTACTGCCTCTCTTTGGTGGGAAGGTGGACCTCAGCATAATCTGAGGCGAGACTATGCACCTGTGAGTAGTTTGCTCCTTAAAGCAAAATGAACCTGAGATTACAGTAATTTCAGTTGTGTGACTTTTGAGTACACAGGAGCCCTCATCACTGGTATGATCGTGGTTTCAATGACAGGTGGCATTCAAAATAGGAACTTTAATCCTTTAGCTCCCAACTAAATCAGAGAACATTTGCACTTTAAGGACTAGTTCAATCTTTCATTTATAGATGACAAAAGTAAAGCCCAGAGTAATAGAATGACTTGTCTGAAGTCCCACAGCTACTCTGACTTGTGCCAAAGCCAGAACTGGAATCTTCCACACCTGATTTCCAACGCCTGTCCCATTGCATCCTTTAGTTCAACTAATGACTATGTACTGGTTAATTGATAGATTTCATTCTGCCTCCTCAGCCTTTTTGTAAATGATCCCTTCCTATTTTCCAGTGTCTTAGTTTACCAATCAAATGATCTCTTCCTGCCAGTCTTTGAACATTGGCAGAAGGAATTTGAGGCCCAATTTACAACTACAACTCAAATAACGTCTAATTTCTCCAAATTTCAGTTAGGGATCACAAATTACTTGTGTGCTGGCACCAAAGATGCTGCTGACTAGGAGGCTCATGGTTTGGTGTCTCCATTGCATGCAGCTAAAGCCAATCCAACCCCGGATGGTTACATGCTAACAGCCCATGCTGGCCGCCGTGTGCTGTTGTTTAGTAAATGAAGTCAGATGAACTGAAGTTCCTGTGACCCAGAAGGGAGCCAACGTTCTAGAATTTGGTGACTATGTCTGTTTCTACTCTAAATCCGCTTAACCTCTCAGAGTGAAGGGCCTTAATCTCAGTGTTTGCATGCTGGTAACACTTATCACCTTGTTAGTTCTTTCGGGCTTCATCTGGTGCCTCTATTTCCTCCTGGAATTTGACCCCGGAACACAGGTTGTCCTGGAGGTCTCCAGTGCATTTGTCCGCTGGTAGGATCATACATTTTGTTTTGTTTTCACTGCTCCAGTGATATGTTGCCTAACATTTTGTGTGATTCTGGCTCATTGAGCTGCTGTCTTCGGAAAACAACAGATCTCTTTCCTAGGGGTAATTCCTAGTTCTGTATCTAAAGTTGCTGATGGGCATTACTGTATACTTGAGCACCTTATAGGTCATCTAACCTTTTTTATCGTAACTCACCTAGGTTTTGATGTGGTTTAGTGTTTCCAACCCAGCATTTCAAACTAGGAATTGCTTGTGTCTCTCATGAATTTTAGTGACCCCACAGAGCACTTCCACTACCAGCTTTACTGGTGAACATTTCGAACAAGAACATAGAATTTGGGGATTTGAAGAAGCCCTAAAATTCCTCTAGTCCAATGCCATTGTTATGTGGTTGTACAAGTATAGATTCAAATACCTCTAGTAGTGGAAAATTCATTACTTTCCAAGAGAGCTCATTCCATTTTGGACAGCCCTGACTATTAGAGAATGTTAAGCCAAAATGTGCTTTCTTGTACTTTCCACCTAGTGGATCTAGTTCTCGCCTCTTGGGACCATAGAAAGCATGCACCGTCCCTCCTTTATATGCAGCTCTAAGGTCATGGTTTTTTGGTTTTTTTTTTTTTCTGCTTTCCCTTCCCAACCCCCCCACCCCGTACATAGTTGTATATCTTAGTCGCAGGTCCTTCTAGTTGTGGGATGTGGGTTGCCGCCTCAACATGGCCTGACGAGCAGTGCCATGTCGGCGCCCAGGATGCGAACCCTGGGCCGCCGCAGCGGAGCGCACGAACTTAACCACTCAGCCACAGAGCCAGCCCCTAAGGTCATGTTTTTGAAGACAGCTGTGAAGTCCTCTCCCCATCTTCTGCCTTTGCCTGTGTCTTCCCTTCCTCAAGTTAAACATTCCCACTTCCTATGGAGCAGTCCTCACTATCAATGCTGCTGCATTTGCACACTTGTCTATTTGTTCCTACTCTTTGGTTTACTTTTTAAGCCAGGACTCTAATCATATCAAAAATGAATTTGGTTTTTAAACATCCTTTGGTGTAGAATCTCATCAAAAGCCTCCCCTCCATTATTTCATTCGTTCATTCAGTGTTTATTGTCAGTCATTGCTCTTCATGATAGAAATGCAACATTGAAACAAATGCAGCCATGACCTTGAATGGCTCAGGGTTCAGTAAGGAGGAGGAGGCATAAATAAAGCATGGTAAGCATTATAACAAAGGTGCACTCAGAGCAGTGGTGACACAAGGAGAGAATGATTCGGAATCAGGACACACTTCCACAGAGGAAATGCTGAAACAGGATCTTGAGGAAAGAGTAGGAATTCACCAGGAAGAAGCAGGGACGAGTACTCCACACAGGAGGAACAGCATGTGCTAAAATGCATGGAAGTTCAGTAGGATACCCTGCCTTGGAGATCTGTAAGGAGTTTGAGATGGTCTGAGAGGGGGCCACAAGGTAAGGAACAGAGAGATAGGAACTACCTAAGGCTCAGGACCTTGCACATAGTAGGGGTTCACACCACATTCCATCAGCACCCACCAAGTACAGAAACCATGTGGTCAGTTCATAACCACCAGCCAAACTAAGAGTATGAGGCTGTTTCAACTGGTGAGTTGTGATTTTCGTTTGGGGTTAATATGTAAATGAAGCACAGTCTCCCTAACTAACGGCCTGTGGGTCTAGTGGGGGTTGACGGATCAGGTGGGATTTTGCATATTTCAGAAGGGCTGGTGACTCTCTGCTTTTGAATTACACAGCTGAGTAATCTAAATAGCAACATCAGATATGGAGAGTAAGCACTTGGGGTGCTCTCCGCTTGTGTTCCTCAAGTTCTCCTCTGTGTGTGGAGAAAAGAAGCTCCAGGATAGTGTATCCCCAGCCAGTCTGTGCAGCTCCCTCTGTTCTGAGCCTGTACCGGTCTAGTTCTCCCTCTGTGCCCAAGCCTTGTCTGCCGGTGGGCTTAAGACAGGTTGGATGGGACACTTCTTTTGGATGTGTCTCTCCTTCTCCCTCCCCTGTGGATGCCCCATGCTGTGGTGCTGCCTGCAGCTGCAGTAGGGGTGTCTTCCTGGTGGAAGTGAGGGTGGGTGGTGAGGAAGATCCAGATAACCCAGTTATTGCGTCTCTCCTTCCCTACTCAGTAGCCCCCAAAGCAACTCCAGGGAGCCCTAGGAATATCAGATGTTCCATCCATCTCTCAGATTCTTGCTGAGACCTGCCAGCACTAAATGTCACTGGCACGAGGATTCAAGTGGGGCACTGAGTGGGGCACTGGTGTCACCCAAAGCAGCAAAGCCATATGACTTCACCTTCATGGTTCTGGTCACTAGAGATTTATTCTTATTTCGGAGTGAGTTGCCTTAAAGATCTCAGGTCATATCAGTTTAAAGTTCTATAGAGACAACTATTATTGAAAACCTATGGTCAAACATTGATTTTTCTCATATGTAAATCACCATGTAGTGTACGAGGTGTTGCGAGGGATTCACAGATAAGTTAGAATGGTCATTGCCCTTTACGAGCTTGGAATCTGGTTGGGGAAACAAGGCATAGCAAATTTACATGGTATTTTTGGTTTTTTGCTTTTCATATTTATAATTTCTGCTGGGCCTGTGTCCCATGTTCATGCCCCCCTCACCCTTGTACTTTGTGTGTATTTTCAGGCTGATTCTCTAAGTGGATAAAAGCAGGCATTTGCATAACAGGAAATGGCAGAAACTGAGGATTTTGTGGGTCAGGAGCCACATCCAGGTAACATCCCTATAAGATCCTTTGATGAAGTAAATAGGAACTAGTTACCATTATATAATCAAGGGCAAGTGGGTTAAGATTGCTCTTTATTCAGAAGCTGCTTTCTCATGATGCATTTTAATAGTGAATAAATATAAATTATTTCTACAACAACTAAAATAGCCCCTTCATAGTGTAGCGGACTGTCTGACCAGCAATTAAATTTGTGCCCTGTCTCCTTTAAAAGGAGTTTCCAGAAAACCAGCTTAGATTTTCTGCAGGTAGCTTCTCTTGAATGGGCAAGGTCAGGCCCCTAGAATCATTTCAGGTGCTTTCCTTACAAGGGGAAATGTAGAGTGAACCACATTGGAGACAGTGAGGGAGGCCTTCCTACCTAGAAAGCTGGGGGTGGGGGGGTGGGGGCGGGGCAGGGGGCGGGACCCTGGAGCCAAAGAGGGAGCTCTCCTTAGGAAGGTGCAGGGAAGTAACCCCTATATGCAGAAAACAGGGTGTATCACATCCTTTGTGTTTTGAGAATTGAAGAGGAAGAATGTCTTCACCGGCAGGGAATGAACCCCCTTAGGGGCAAGGGAAGCAGTGTTTCTGGGTCAGTGGGGTAGTGGCCAGCATCTGAGGCATGGCTGGGCACGCAAATGGAAAGAACTGCGATTTGGGGGCACCCTTGGTTGGGCTTAGCCCTGAAAGGGTGGAGTTGTTTTGCTTGGAAATGCTGGCAGTCTCTGGCAATGGTCAGGATCAGCAGTGAACCTGCATCGTGGGTCGGGCTGTGTGGGATCAGCATTCAAAAGTGACACCTTGTGGCAGCAAGGAGCAACAGCAGCAGTAGACTGAGGTTTCCTTCTGTGGGCTGCCCCCATGCACCCGTACTGCTCTTTCCCACGGTAATTTGGTATAAAATGATGGAAAAGTTGAGGAAGTGCTTCAGCAATTACAGGGAATAGTAAGAGTTGTGGTCCAGGTTCAGGCCAGTTCATTCCAGTTACGATTTAATATGAAGCTACTACCCTTAAATGGTATATAAATCCAAGATAGGATACTTTCTTCTTTCCAGGTGATTTTTCATTTTAGAAATTGAAGAAAAAGTTTAAAACCCTGCTGTTTTATCTAACTTCTTAGACTTTGCCTTTGTTGATAAATAAGCTTCCAGTCTCTTATCGGATTAATTGCCAGTCCTTCTGAAGTTGAAATAAAGGCCATGGATATATGGACCTGTCCCTTGTTTGACACATGTGGCTGAGATGCTGTGCAAACATCATTTACACAAAAGAGTTCCTGAGTTACAAAGTTGAGATCAAGGCCTGATGTCCTGTTGCTTTCTTCCCACAGATAGGTTGTGGAAACATCCTGGAATTCTGAGACACCTTTTGTGACACAGATAAAGTGTTCCTCGGCTGGTAACTGGCCTAAGGGCTCGAGTGGCATATTCTTTTCTTTTTTATCCCTTCCTCTCCAGCTCCAGCCACTGAGCCAGCAACCACTTGGTATTTAGTTCTAATGTAGTCTTGAAACTGAACCGAGATGAATTCTTTGAATTGAGCTCAATCATAAAGTTCGAAGGGGCTGAAGTGCAAGCTCTTTCAGTTCCCTGTCACTGCAGGAGCATGAGGTGGCAGAGCTTCAAGCTTTGGCAAACAGCATACTCTGCCCTGCAATACTCTGAGGGCTGTGGGCTGTCTCCAGAACACGGCAGAATTTGTGCTGGAAGATGCAAGGCTGAACAGAGGGGGAATGCCGCCTAAGGTATCTGGGGGACCCACACTGGGAGCCCAGTGGTGGAGATGGGCCTTCTGCTTGGGCTGCCATCCTGAGTCCCTGAGGGAAGCTCCTTCTGTGTTGTTCTTCAGGGAAGATGACTTCCCACTGTCATGCTCAGTTTGGGGCCTTCATGCCCTTATGTGAACTTAGAGTGTTATGACTCTTGGGGATCAACTTTTCTTCCAGTTCACCTCACAGCCATTTTCTAAGACACCAGCCAGCCCAGGGGCACTGGGTTAGGACCGTTTCCAATAACCTTGACCCCCAAAGACTCACTTATTGCCCCTATCTAACCAGGTGATACCACTGGGGGGGTGTTTTCTAAAATTTATCCAAAACACAATGTTTTGGTTATACCCTTTCCTGAGGGTTATGGACCCTACCAGCCCTTCACTTCATAACCAAGGGAAACCAGTAATGTGAACGAATCTTCGCAGAGCTACAAAGATCTGCTCCTCAGAGATTTGTATTCTTGCCTATGTAAGGAAGAGGCTGCTAATGTCTTTCAGTGAAGAACAGGGAAAAATTTCCGCAAATTTAATCTCTGAAGGGCATCCATCTGGCTGGGCACCCTCCAAAATTCTTGTGTTGCTTATATTTCTGCCAGCTTTCTCATTTTGCTGATGAGGAAACTGAGGCTCAAGGAGAAGAGATTTGCCCTGATCACATGGCCCATTCTTTCCTCTGCATTCTGCTCCTGATCAGTTTCTTTCCCACTTTGAAAAGACCTCCCAGAGGCCTTGTCTTGTGGCCCCACACTTAGCCTTGTCGTGGGCTTCTCTTTACACAGTTGGTTGATTTCCTAAAACTTGGCATTTGGTGGAGAATATCCAGCCACTTTGTTTCTAAGGATTTCCAAACAGATACTTTTCATCTGGGGAGATATGTTGGGCTCCGCATTTTGGAACTAGATGCAAAAAGTCCTCTGACTCTGGGAAGGAACCAGACTGGAATGGCCCAACAGTGCCTGCTTCTGAAATGAGCTTACAGGCCTACAGGGCTGGCAGGGGTCCTCTTAGACTCTTCAGGTTTGTATATTGATGGACGTCAGGCAAATATACCATGCCCCAAGACCTTTAATTTTATATAAGCTCTGTTTATCTCTAGTTGACGATGATTTATTTAAAGAACCAATGAAAAAAAGAAGACGTTCAGATCGAGACCAACGGTTCCGAGCATTTCCCTCCGTGGAACAAAGTGCTCTTAAGGAATGTGAGTGTCATGAAACTGCTATATGGCTTGTTTTAATGTGGCTCTGTTCTCTTTTCCAAATGTGTTAAAATGCTCAAAGGAAGAGAAGGTTAAATTCTGAAACAGGATGAAACATCTCCGAATGAACCTGGTGGTCCAGAAAGGGAGGCTTCATAGTCTCTGCAGAGATATCGAATTTGACAATTTATCTCTAGGAGTCTCTGGATAGGAGGGTTGTTATCAAAATAACCTCTTCCTGATTAGAAAAAAGACTGCAAAAATGGTTGGTTTGGTGCTTTAGTGGATATTTATGAGGTCCTTGCATTTTTTCTTTTTATGACCACAAGAGAGAAGAATCTAGAAGGGCTAAAGAACATGGCAAAGCAAATGCTGACTTCCGTTTCAAGGAGTTTCAGAGTAGGCTGGCTCCTTGGAGGCTCTCAGCATTGATGATTCCTATCTTCCATGAGCTGTTATCTCTAGTGTCAGATAATTTACCATCTTGTTCATTTTGCTTTTCATTTCATTTCTTTTTTTCTTGCTCTGCAATATTGAGCAGACTCCTCCTGTGGAGACCTTGTACTTGACCCCTGCCAGGTACTTCCCAGGTAATACATCTCTGTTGATTCCAGATGAAAAATTGGAGTCACGGACCAGAAGGGTTTTGAGCAACACTTATCAGAAACTTATTCAGTCTGTCTTCCTGGATGACAGTATTCCTAACGGAGTCAAGTATCTCATGTGAGTCTCATATCGGCTCCCATCAAATCTTACGTTGATGTCTTTCCTTAGGTGATTGTAGTGCTTTTCTCTAACAATGAAAGGGAATTTCCAATTAGAAACCCAGCAAAGAAGGCTGAAAATTTCTGTAGCTATGGGCCATTATTATTATGACTGATAGTTGCCATTCATTAACTGTCACTGTTGCCAGGTAATCTGCTCAATACTTTACATACATCAAATTTTGTTTAATTGTTCCAATATCCCCATAAAGTAGGAGCTGTTATTAGCAATCATCCTCATTTTACCAGAAATTGAGGCTCAGGGAAGCCAAGACATTGACCAAAGTCACACTGTTGGTAAGTGAAAGGTCACAGAATCTAACCCAGGCTGTGTGACTCTAAGCTGTGCTCTCAACTGCTTGTGCTGAGATAACGTGAAGGACTTGAGTGACGCTGAGGCTGCAATTTCTCCTGCTCAATAAGACTTTGTGTTGCTCCTAATAATACTTCACCTTTGCGTAAGTTTTATTTCTAGGGTCAAGACTAGGTAATTTTCATACAACACAAACAAGGATGCCTCACATCTATATAGACGTTATAGAGTTTGTGTAGAATTGTCATTACCAAGTATTTTTTCATAATCTCATTTGATCCCCATGACAATTCTGTCTAGTAAACAGGGATTAATATTCCCCTTTGACCAAGGAGAGAACAAGTCACAGAAAGATGTAGTGACTTGCCTAGGATTAGAACTCAGTTCCTTTGTGTTGTAGTCCAGTGTTCTTCCCACTATGCTGTGATGACCATGACAATGTGCATTTAAAAACTGATCTAGAAACAGGCTTCTTGCCTTGATTGAAAAACCATCATTGGACCCAATCTACATTGGATTATTTGGAAGCTCTGGGGCTGGGAAGAGCTCCCTGATCAATGCCATCATCCAGCAAGAAATGTTTCTACCTGTGTCTGGAGAAAGTATATGTACGTCATGTATTGTACAAGTGAGCTCGGGCTGCTGTGAACAGTATGAGGCCAAAATCCACCTTCTCTCTGACCAGGTAAGTGGCTCCTGCCTGCTTTCTTCCTGCCTTCCTTGCTTGCTTCCTTCCTCCTTCCGTCCCTGTTTTCCTCCCTTTCTCCCTGTTTCCCTTCCTCTTTCCCTCTCTTCCTTCCTTCCTTCCTTTTCTTTCTTTCCTTCTCCCTCTCTCTTAGCGATTAATATAATCTTAGAGATTATATTCCTTTTAAATATAGCTCATGCCTTTGTTGAATGAAAACAACATAGTACAGAATGAGAAAGTTCAATAGAGTGAGATGGGGTTTCTAGCCTTAGTTCTGTCACAACTTGTTATGGGACTTTGGGCAAGCCATTTCCCTCTTTGGGTCCCTGTTTCCTCATCAACAAACCAGGGAGATTGGGTTAGATGATCCCTTGCTGGATTAGATGATTTTAGATTTCCTGAATATGCAGCCCTCTTGCCCTCCACAGGGACAGTGGACTCTTCGCTTTGTCATTGTTTTCCATATCTTTGTCATGAGGGGCTTGGCTCTACTCTCTCTTGGCAGGAGTGGAAGGAGGAGTTGAAGAACTTGACTAAACTCCTACACAGGACGGAGGAGCTGGGCAGAGAAGAGGCAGATAAGTGGGACAGGGATGATGCAGTGGAGGAAGCCATCTGGAAGCTACAAATACTTTACGGAAATGGGGCGGAAAGGAAGAACTATGAGGAGTTACTAAGGGCCAAGCCCAAAGGAAAAATTCCCACCTCCAGAATCATCACCCTCAAGGCAGAAGAGGTAGCTTCAAGATTTTTTTAAATTTTGTCATGCATCTCAAATATAATAATTGAATTCATTTGGGGGATTTGCTCAAGGTACAGTGTTTTTATTGGAAATAAGTTGATACCCAAATCATAAGTATCCATGACCAAGTTATTTTTCATTATTTATGGCTGTCAAATGGGAATTTTTAGTGTCTGAATGGGGAAGCTTTTGTGCACAGGAAAGGTTATTTACAGTTACTTGAGAATTAATTAAGAATGTTTTTGGCTGCAAATGATTTTTTTAAAAACCCCAACTTATAATGGCTTAAACAAATAGGGATTTATTCATTTTCTCACATGAGAAGTCTGGAGGCAGTTGGGTTTGTGGGTTGGCTCAGTGGCTCAACAATGTCAAGATCAACATCTCTCTGGTTCCCTTGGCCTTCCATCATATTTATTACCTCATAGTCATAGATTGCTATTGAATTGTTAGACTTCAAAGCTAGCTTCATGGAAGGCAGAAATGGATAAAAAGGTGGTACCAACCATATCTCCTCTTTCACTGGGAAGTAAAAGCTTTCCCAGAAAGACCCCAACAATTTTCTGTGTAGATTTTCTTGTTCAGAACTGAGTCACATGGCCTTTCCAAAGCTGACAGGGAGTCTAGAGAAAGCAAGAAGCAGAGTTGCCATGATTGGCTGAGACCAATCTCAATCTACCACCTAAACAAACACACAGCCAATCAGGATTCTGCTGGCATGGATGAAGGACAGGATGGATATTGGATATGCAACTCGTAGGACAATGCTCTCCTCACTTTTATAATCAATATTCATCTTATTAAATGGAGTTTCCATTTTAAAGGAAAATACTTGTGGAGCTAATATCTAATTTATTAAAATTGTACATTTGAAAATCTTGTTTTTCTTGTATCTTAAAATTCATCTTTAAAATATTATTCTGTTTATAAATCTGACATTTTTTTGTATAAAATAAAAACAATTACTTACACTTATTCTGAAAGTTAATGTTGAATTTTCTCCTATGTTTAACATAGCAAATCTTCCTTGTATAATTAATACTACTTAAAACAATTAATCATATTTCCTTAGAGTTTTGCTATTATAGCTCAAGTTTAATATATTCAGTTCTCTCAAAAAATTTTAAATACTTGACCAGGCATACTTAGAAGTCAAATGAATGAAACTTTCAAGGCACTTAGCTCTTGTACGTCTAGGAAATCAAACAAATGTAGTAGCCATTTCCTTTATTTAAATGGATATTACTATTAAAAATAATTACCTTCCTAATATCTAGAACACAGACTGAACATGTTCAAAGAAACACAATGATTACAAAACTGGTTGCGCACTTTATCTGAATACACACAACTCACACTAATCTATCAAGATTATATTTCTTCACTACTCTGTATTTAGAAATATTCCTTCCCAGTGTTACAGATTTACCCATTGAAACAGGGGCACAGAATTACCATCTCAGTGAGTAAGAGCACAACTTCAGAGTTTGGGTCAGGGATTCTAGACTAGAATGAGAGATCTGAGTTGGCCTCCCAGAATGGTTTGCCCTGAGCCAGTTTATTGGCTTGAGCCCTCTTCTTATAGAAAGGAACTTTTCAAGCCCATGCTTTTTCTATTATGTTGCCCTTATTGTATCTGCTTAAACTTTTATCATCTACTCTTTCACAATTTCTCGTTATTTGATTATAATTGATAAATCTGTCATTCCCTACCCAGATTGCAACAAACCCTCTGATTTAATCTCAACTCTCCTAAGAATTTACTTTCTTGTCTTTCTTTCAGGACCATTCTATCAATATTTATTAACAGTGACCACCATACATCCCAAATCTTCTGTCACCTGAAGTATCCCCATAGAGAGTCACTGCCATACATAGTTATTGGCATGAATGCATCATTGACCCAAGATATGTTTAGGTTGGAGCAATAGGCTGAGAGCCATTCCCCATCCTGCCCACCATCATTAAAACATTCTGGAAATGCCTACATGTCATGACATGTTTTGTACGTGGAAGATAAATTTTAAAAATCTTTTTAAAGATCAATTTCAGACCAATTTTAAATTTGGAAAATATGGTCACCATATCACTGTCAATTTCCTATAATCATGGCTTTCTGGTAATTAAAGTGTTCACGTTAGCTATGTGGGAAAAATGCTCTCTCTCCAAAATGTAGAGAACTGCATATTACATTAATTTTAGAATTGAAATGGAATTTAGAAGATAAAATTATTATCCAGTGAAGCTGTAACTTTCCTGAAGTCCCATTCTAACTGGCTCTGGTTTCTTCATCTGTAAATTAAGGAGCTTGAACTTCCTGATCTCCAGGGTCTTTTCTGGCTCTCAGAGTCTAGACCCTTGCAGACTGCATTACAGACCTCCTGGTGCCTGTTGCCCAGTGCTGCTGCTTACCATTACTCAGTGTACCTTCACTGAACCTGAATCACGGCCAGTCCAGGACAGAAGAGCAGGGAGAATATCTAGTGTGTGTGACTTTGTCCTTCCTCAGGCAGGAGAGCTGTCCATCAAGCTGGACCCCTACATCCGGACTCAGAGGAGAGACTGGGATGGAGAATCAGCTGAGACACAAATCTGGCCCTTGATCAAACAGGTGGAAGTGACTCTTCCCAAATCAGAGCTGATTCCAGAAGGAGTTGTGTTAGTGGACATTCCAGGCACAGGTGACTTCAACAGCAAGAGGGATGAGATGTGGAAAAAGGTGATTCTGTTTCTTATGGCTTCGTTCCCTCTTCCCTCAACTCCTCCAGCCTTTCTAAAGCAACAAAGAATGCTCCACTTTCAGCTGAAGGCACTTTATGAGCTCAGGAGAGTTAAATTCTGTTTTTTGTGTTCTAAGCCTCAGAGCAATGGCAGGATATGGGTGGCCAGAAAAATGAGGGGAGAGGGGGGCATTCATGGGGTAGGCCTGGTGGCCGGAACAAGGATATGTGATATATGAGAAGGGTCAGCAGTAGAGTGGCCTAAGAGAAAGTAAAGGAAACAAAAACCCAGTGGGAAAGGGAGGCCAAGATTTGGGTACAAAGCAGAGAAGCCAACAGCCAAGCACCAAGGAACCAGGAGGCTGCTACCGCGATTGCTTGTAAGGAATAGAAATCCACAAAAGCAATGCGGTTAATCAAGAGACTAGAAAGGATGTCGTGAGACACGTCTCTCTGGTCCTCTGCGTGGTCTCTTGTGACTCCTCTTTCTGCATTTCTCTGCAGAGTCCTGCTGCCCTCCTAGCTTTCTCTGCTTAGCTGTTAGATCTGTGTTGTGGAAGATGACCACCCTAGCCCTGTGTCTACGTGACGTTTTAGTTCATGTGCTCATGACTGTCTGACAATAGTCTCTAAGTGTTTTAGTTTCAATTCCTAAGAACAAAAATGTGATTGATTACTGCCCAGATGATGGATTAACTCTCTCTGGATAAAGTATCCATCCCTACTGCAGTCAGCTGTGGCTGAAGGTGATGGTTGACATGAAAGTCCAGCCTTCCAGCCAAAATCTTGGGGAGGGTTTCAATTCCCAGCTAATGAGGTAATGACGTATGAGCTGACCAGTCACCCCCAGATGTGTCTACAGCCAGAGAGATAAGCATTGGGGTAGTCTGATCTGCATGTAATGATTAGAGGTTGAAGTATTTTTAAGAATTTATCTCTGGGGGGCGGCCCGGTGGCGCAGCGGTTAAGTGTGCACATTCCACTTCGGCGGCCCGGGGTTCACCGGTTCGGATCCCAGGTGCGTACTTGGCACCACTTGTCAAGCCATGCTGCAGTAGGCGTCCCATGTATAAAGTAGAGGGAGATGGGCATGGAGGATAGCTCATGGCCAGCCTTCCTCAGCAAAAAGAGGAGGATTGGCAGCAGTTAGCTCAGGGCTAATCTTCCTCAAAACAAAAAAAAGAATTTATCTCTGTTCAATTTGCTTTTCATTCATTAAACACATGTAATATCTAAGACAAGGTACTAAGCACTGAAGCTGCAAAGATTGTAGCTAATAATAATAACACTAGCAGACATTTACTGAGCATTTTCTTTGTGCTAGGCACTGTCCTCAGTGAAGTAAGTTGCCCATTGTAACACTGAGGATTTTAAACTGGGCAAGATGGCTCGGGAGCCTCTCTGCTCTTAACCCTCTATATCCTGATGATCAAACAGAACTAAATGAAAAGATGCAGAGCATGACCTTTAGTGTTAAGAAGAGTGTGTATGTGTATAATGTTTGTAAATGCACAGCAAAAGTAAGACCCTGCCTTCTGGAAGAATATACACCCCACCGTTAACAGCACTTTCTGTGTTTACTACCACTCTTTGCTCATACACCTTTGTATTGTTTGTGTATTTTGCATGGACATGTATTACCTTTACAATGGAAAAGTTGAAAGCAAAATAAAACAATGTTGAGTGAGAAGCAGAGCTTTCCCACAAGGGGCCTAGAGTCCAATAGGACAGATGAAACATGCGGATGACTAAATAGATGGCAGGAAGTGTTGAAAGGAGGACAAGGTACTGTGAACACTCAAAAATAGAAATCACCCCCAACAAGAGATCTCATTCCCTCAACAAACACCCACTGAGCATCTGCTCAACTTGGTGGGAGGTTCTGGATGGACAGAGACAGAGTCCTTGCCCTTGGGAGTCTCGTAGTCCAGAAGCAGGTCAACTGGTCACACTAACAAACCGTATTACTTAAAGATGAGACCACAAGGTGATGAATTCCTTCTGGAGGTGGGTGAGGCTTCAGGGAGGACACTTTAGGTCAGCCTCCATTGGGCAGAGAAGACAGCTGCCTTCTGAGGTGGGATTGCTGAGCACCATTCCACGCCAGAGAGCAGCACTAGCAAAGCCCCAGAGTGCTGGTGGGGGAAGGATGAGTCTTCCTGGGTGGCTGGGGGGAAGAGGGTGTGAGGGGTGTAGAGCAGAGAGGCGCAGAAGACAAGCCTGGAGAAGTTGGGGGTGGACTTTGATACTGCGCTTCCTGGGGAAGCGTGAAGGGCACGAGGGACTGGGGCATGTGATAGAGAAAGAAAGGGCGTCTTTAGGCAGAAGGAGCTTAGGAGCACAGGGTGGGCACATGGGAACACAGGACGAGAGCTGGAAGGGGACTGAGAGGAGGTCCAGTAACACTGAGAGCACTGTCAGTGCAGCAGCTATCGCAGGATTCACTTCAGGACCACTGATTCTCTGCTGTGTGTAGATGTTAAATTCTGCAGATTTGTGCTAAATGAATGATTGTGAACTGGGGGAGCTTTGTGACTGTAGTTTCCAATCAAGAACTAGTGCAGGGTGACAGCTTACAGATAATCTAGCCTATGCCCTCACTTTACAGATGAGGAAATGAAGGCTCAGAAAGGGGAAGTAATTTGCCCAAGACCCCACAGCTACTGAGTGGCAAAATCTGAATCAGAATGTTCCTACCTTCCCAGCTGAGGCTCTATCTCACCCTCAAGAAGTCCCTAACAGTTCCTTTAAGGTGAAGGCAGTCCCAGCTTCCTTGGTCAGTCTGTTCAGGCCTGGCCATCAGAGCCTTTATTTCTGCAGGATCTTGGCTCTTGGAGTGTTCCAGGCTGGGCCCAGGGAACAACATCCTAGGGAGGCAGCCAGCCTCTCCCTGGATGGAGCCATGGCTGCTGCCAGTTCAGATATGCCGGGCAGCTTATCAAAGCCCTCTCAGAACAGAGGAGCCAGCAGACCTGGCTCTGAGCACCCGCTCTGAGGAGGTCGGGCTGAAGGGGAGCGATGGTTCCCAGCCTGCTTTGCTTGGCCTCAGCTCCCATGCATTCTTGTGGTTTGCGATAGTCTCTCTCAAGAAGTTACTAAAGAGTCCCCTCTTTCCAGGGAGCAGAGCACAGTGCCTCCTCCTCTGGCCTCTCCAGCTGCCAGTTTTGTCTTCCCTAAGCTAAAACTGTTACGAGTTCAGACGTCCCTGTTCTGCCACCTAGAAGTCGTGCGACTTTAGGCGTGTCCCCTGACCTCTCTGAGGCCCATTCTCATCACGGGGAGGGAGGGCGGTGGGGGTGGTGGAGTGGTCATCCCACCCCCTCGTTAAGTCCAGTCGCTCTTGTCTTATAGATAGGCTTTTTTATGTCTTCCACAACTATAACTTTACCACATCCTGGCAGTCAGGAGCTTTATGTAAGGCCTGAAATTTACCCACTGCAACCTTTTTGTTGCAGTCCTCTTCTCACGTTAATAAACATTTACTAAGCACCTGTAGTTTACCAGGACTATGGGGACTGCAAAGGTGAAAGAGGCCCTGCCCTCAAGGAGCTCACACCCTGGTATCCTACCATCTTCCAAACCTGATTGAATAGCCTGAAGCTTCCCTAAATTGATTATAATTGGGGAAGTGGGATGGAGCAATTGTTTTTACTTTTCTACCTAAACATGAGTCCATCCACATAGGGAGGAGGTTCAGGACCCATAGTTGTATGGCCTTAAGCTGGTCCTTTGCGTCTCAGGGTCCGTTACCTTCTCTACAAAACAACTAAGTTTGCTGTAGAGATTGGTGCTTTTACAACAGTGATCCACGAAGTGGGGAGATTTATTAACAGAGGGTAGGGGGCACTGAGCAGGTCGGGGCTTCAAACCCTCCACCCCAAATTCAACTAAAGCAGTTCTATTTTTAAAAATCAAGGTTGACAACTGGAATTATTTCTAAGATTTCATTGGAAAGAGGCTCCACTGCTAAAAACAAGCTTGAAACCCACTGTTCTAGATCAAGGTTTCTCAGCCTCAGCACTATCCACATTTTGGGCCAGATAATTCTTTGTTGTCGGAGGGCTGACTTGGGCATTATAATGTGTTTAGCGGCATCCTTGGCCTCTACCCTCTAATGCCCCCTAAGTCATAACAGTTAAAAATGTCTCCAGATATTGCCAAATGTCCTCTGGTACAAAATTGCCACTAGTTAAAATCCATTGCTATAGAGTAAAATAATCATTTAATTAGCAAGTCGCAAACTTGTCGCGCCATTATATGCAAAGTGCTGTCCTAAGAAACCACAAATAAGCTTAATCCCTGAGTTAGACCAGCTTTTCATTTATATGGAGGGATAAGAGAAGTGAAACAATACAGTAAGAGAGATGTCACAACATTTCTCAAGGCAACACGTGATTACCAGTCACATGAAAGTTGCATATTTGATAAAGCAATATTTATGCTGTTAATCGTAAGTTATATGATTTCATGTTCATTGACCTTTGCAATGTGAATCATATGGTTTCTGGCTCCCTGCTGCAGCATGATGACAGTGTGCTGAATATGCAGGGGCAGTCAAACATCAAAATGATGCCCGGTGATGGTAGCTTTGGGCTGGATACATGATCAGAACTATTTCTGGAAAAACAATAATTTCCCCAGAGGACAACTGAGGTAAAGCAAGCCAGTGATGGATCTGGGACTGGAGGTCTGATATCTTGAATTGTTTCAATCACTAATGCCACAAACATCTGTGAAGCCTCCGGTATGGGCTAAGCGCTGTGCTTGAGGTGATATGGATTCCAAGCTGAAAGGTGCAGCCCCTTCCCATTTGGTGCTCACAATGTGTGTGTGTGTTGAGGAGGGGTGCAGAGTGCCGACCCTGCACAATAACTCTATCTGAGAGGCACTGTGGCAGGTAAGTCCAGCTGCTGTAGGATGCAGAGGAGGAGTGGCCCACCCATCCTCAGGTGGCCCTTAGCAGAGTCTTGAAGGGCAAATGGAGTTCAAGCAGAGAGGTTATGGCAAGTGAAATACTACTTGTATTCTTAAACATATTGTGGTCATGTTTCACAGACCATTGATAAATGCTCAGTGATCTGGGTGATCAGCGACATTGAAAGAGTTTCTGGAGGGAGAGCCCATGAAAACCTTCTGAATGAGAGCATCAAAGCCTGCCAGAGGGGTTTCTGCAGGGACGTTGCCCTGGTGGTCACCAAGAGCGACAAACTCCACTTGCCAGAATATCTAAGGTACCGTGCTGAGCTTGCCAAGGTGTAGGCTTCCCTCCCTGGGTCCCGACTGCCTTAAAGACAGCACTTTGACTCATGGGCATTGTGAACTTAGGAAAGTAACTGTTGGGGATGAAAGAGAAGTCTGAGTGACTTCCTAGGACATCTGCACCCTTGGGTAGATTGTCTTGGGAATCCGAACCATGTGGCCTCTCTTCCGGAGTAGCTGCTTAACAAGCTAACAGGCTGTCCTCTACACAGCTCCAGGGGTGCCACTCACGCGTACGGAATGCAAAGAGCACCCCCTGGAGTTGTGCAGTGTGACAGTCCTGTCTGCCCCCCGCAGATATGGAAAGCCTAGATACTCCACAGCTAATAGGCACTTTCTGTAATCCTGTCTGGCATGGCACAGCTTTGAAGTGTCTGATTCTGTTCCAGATTTGTCTGCTCCTAAGGCTTTATACCCATTTGGAGCAAGGTTCTCAAAGTTTTAGAACTTTGGCTAAAAGTAAAAGCATTCTTACAGAGTCATATTCTAACAGAAAATAATGAAAGATAAGCATTTAGGGCTTACTAGATGTTACTCTCTGTTGATTTCCGTGTAGATCTCCATTCCCCCTGGAACTAGGAAGACTATTACTTATCTTCCATATTGGGACTTTGAAAGTGAAAGGGGGGTGTTATTAACTCACACAGAGGAGCAGCAGGTATAAACTGGTCTGTCCTGGGTACACAGGGCATATGATCATGGGATATAACGTTGTTGCTGCTTCTCTGCTCTAACCAAAGCTTCTTTACCTGTCACCTTTGCCATTTCCCCTATCCCTACTGAAGCTTCCCCTATCCTGCTGTCTCCAGGAATTCTCTCAGCAGAGAAAACTTCCAGGGTGAGAAATAGGCTAAGGCTTTTCCCCCTAACTTCTTGCTTTCATGATCTGGGTTGGAATTTCTGCTTCGTTTTTTTTTTCCCTATGAATTCCCTTTACCCCAACCCCTACCACAGAATAGTATCTCAGTCTCCTAAAACTAAACATAATTCAGTCAAACTTAGTAAATGTTTATTTAACACTGTGGTAGGGGTTGCAGATTCAGAGAGGCATACTGCCTAGTGGCTGAGGTCACTGTCTTAAAAGAGGGTTAGAGGTTATGTGAGAGGGACAAGCAAAGTGTTATGGGAACCCAGAGAGAGGGGGCTGCGTTTTGACTGGGCCAAGGGGTGGGATCACAGAAAATTCCACTGACTACAAAATATTGAGAAATAAAGACACTTTGTTCAAATGGACACTGGAGGTGGATCAGAAGAGAGAGTGTTTGGACCCAAAAAAAGAGCTTATGCAACGGCATCAAGACATGACAGTACAGTATGCTCTGCTTTCAGGGAAATTCGAAAGACTGCCATGACACGTAATGAGTTAAGTAACATTTTACTTAACAGTGTACATTTTTCATTTCAGGGAAAGAAAAGTGAGAAATGTAAGTATGGACTAGTTTTTATTTTTTATTTTTTAAGCTCTATTGAGATATAATTGACATACAAAAAACTGTACACATTTAATGTGAACATCTTGATGAGTTTGGACACGCATGAACTAATTATTTTTAAATAATACTTTTTATGATTAATATTATGTAATTCAAATACATGCACATGTGTGTGGCCAAATGAAGACTGAAAAAATGTGTCTTATCACTTCATCACTCTTCATAACCCTGGACTCTTTGCCATGCTTTTATTTCTTTTCACAATCTAGCAAGCTATTCAAAGTCAGCGAGAGGCTGTTTTAGAAAGAAATGCAGTGATAAAACTACAGAGGAATAAAATTCTCAAGGAAAAGCTAACGGTGAGTTAACAGATTTCTCTATGTATTTTTCTGCTTTTCAACAACTCAGATTTTGAGAAAAAAACATTTATTTGGTCTTGTGTGTTAGCCAGGGCAAAAGATTTGGATTAGACAATTTTTACTTAACTTAGTCCTATTGATTAATAACTTTGTGACCTTAGGCAAATTACTGTACCTCTCTGAGCCTCCATTTTCTCACCTGTAAAATGGGGAAATAATAACATCTACCTCCTCTGATGTTAGAAGGACTGAATGGGCACACGGTCTACTGAGCCATACGTGCAGTTAAAATCAGGGATCAGCAGACGGTTTAAGGTGTTCTTCACCAGAGGAGTGCATAGGGTGCTGTGGGAACACAGAAGAAGGATGCCCAAGTCACGCTGGCAGTCATGGAGGTGGTACTGGGGAGAGGTTCAGAGAAAACTCCTCACCCTCTTGAGCAGAATTGTAAAGAGCCAGGAGTCTTTAGTGGGGTGAAGAAGTAGGAGAAAGGGCACTTGAGATGGAGGAAAGGACGTGATTGCAAAAGCCTGCTCTGTTCAGTAATCTATATGCCAGTAGTTTGAATGGCTCAGCAGAGGGCATATGCAGGAGTGTTGGGAGATAAGGCCTGAGCTGTATTTTTCAAGCTTGTGCAGTCGTTCTGTGGGAATCTTGGTGTTTTCTTAAATTATTTTTATTATTCTGTCACTAAAATGGGTACAACATAAAACTCCCTACTATAATAATCTTATACAACTATATAACTGAAATCAATTTTAGGATAAAATATTTTTTTCATCTTTCAAAACTTTTTATTGAAAGTAAAAAATATACAGAAAAGTGCGGAAGTCATAAGTGTACAGCTCAATGAATTTTCACAAAGTGAACATACAAGATAAAATATTTTTAAAAAATATAAATATTCTATCAGAGTTAGTACAATGCAATAGATGATTGGTTTTCCTGAGACTAAATCTTCAGTGCTGGGTTTTGTAGTGAAAACATGTGGCCTTATGTCCAGTTCTATATTTAATTGCGTTCTGTATTTTGACTTCAGTTATATTGATGCAGAAAATGTCTGATGTACAATGTGGAATTGAAAATTTCAAAGCTTTTTTTCCTAATTCAGAATAATCAGACCTTGTACTTAAGCCAAATCCTTCTACCAAGCCATTCTTGAATGCTGGTTTTACTGAGGGAGTAACTCAGTAAAGCTGTTCTTATTCTTTTTAATTGTTCTTGTTGGCATTAAAGAAATATGCATTTTATGAGTACCTAATCGCATTATTTCCAAAAGCAGAAACATAAAGTACTTCAATAGACAATTCACAGCTATATTTATTGCTAATAAATGTGGCAAATTGGTGTGGATGAGATAGGGTCTGGGCAACAATATGTCAGCTTGCAGGGTGGCTATGGTTCTGACTCGTGTGGTATGAGTTCTTTGGAGGGCTGTGCACCTACTCTCTGATGGCTAGGTGATGCCTTAATTCTCCGACCACTTTATTTCAGTTTGAGTTCTTGTGGAAACCTTTACTTGTACTGCATGGCTTCATTGGAGCAAATTTAATTTTAATCATAGAAAATATGAAGCAGAAGTTGATTATAAGATAATCATTCATGTAGATGTCTATGTTTATTCTTTTAATTTAAAAAATGAAAATTAAAAAAAAATATTGTAAGAAAATTGACAGACCCCTGAGACTACATTTATAGATCTTAGTTTGGAAATAGTATGTATTTCAGAAAGATTGTTTTCTCAGCTGTATGGAGAATGGATGGTGGGGGGAGGAGCGAGTGAAGATTGGATGTAGCGACCAGTTGGGAAGCTTTTTCTGTGATTTGGGTGGAAATGGTAAGAGCCTGAAGTACGCAGTCACTATGGGAATAGAGTAGAGGAGATGCATTCGAGAGATATTAGGGAGTTCAGATCCATAGGTCTGGATGACTAATTGTATGTGGGAGGTGAGAGAGCTGGGTTTTGATGCTCTCAGGCCTGTCACTTGAACTGGTTATTATACAGAATTTTACCTGTGCTTTAGCATACCTGTAGAGAAAACCTACACTCCTCCTCCTGTGCCTCTCTCCTTTGCTCTCACATTATTCCCACACTCACAACACTTATGACACCAGATGTGGGGGGCTTTCTTGCACCCAGCAATTCTCTATGACACCAGCTAGGTGTCCTACAGTTTAACTCAATGTGACACTATCTACGTGGAGATAGCGTCAGATCCCACAGGTTGAGGACTCAGTCCCATGAGACTGCCCCCTACTTTAGATACCAACTGCAAGTAGTAGGTCCCCAGGTTACCCACAAATTCTGTCCAACTTGGCTACAAATCAGAGGTCCCCGTGACCTCCTCCCACTTGGAGTCTATTATTTGCCAGATCAGCTGGCAGAAGTCAGCAAAACAATTACTTATGTTTTCCAGTTTATTATATAATAAAGGATATGATAGAGGATACAGATGAACAGCCAGAGGAAGAGATACTTAGGGCAAGGTCTGGGAGGGTCCTGAGTGCAGGAGCTTCTGTCCCCGTTGAGTTGGAGTATGTCACCCTCCTGGTATGTGGATGTGTTCACCAATCTGGAAGCTCTCGGAACCCCATAGCATTGGGATTTTTATGGAGGCTTCCTCATGTAGGCATAGTCAATTATTAACTCCATTTCCAGCCCGTCTCCCCTCTCTGGAGAATGGAGGGGGGGCTGCTGAAAAATCCAGTCTTCTAATGGCTTGATCTTTCTGATGACCAGCCCCCATCCAGGAGCCCATCCAGAGTCACCTCATTAGAAAAACAGACACTCCTATCATGCAGGAAATTCCAAGGGATTTAGGAACCCTGTGTCAGGTACCAGGGTCAGAGACCAAATATTAGAACAAGAGATGCTCCTAGTGCTCTTATCACTTAGGAAATACAATGGTTGTAGGAGCTCTGTGCTAGGAACTGGGGTCAAAGACTAAATGTTAGAACAAAAGATTTTCCTAGCACCCCTGTTTATAAGGTGTTTCGGAGCCCTGTGTCAGGAACTGGGGCAGAGACCAGTATACATATATTTCTTATTATTTCTCAATACCTTATATTATTTTACTCAGTTTGAAGGTCATAGTGAACTCATAGCTTTTCACAGAATTATTGTGTTCTTTTTGATGTTCAAGTTCACATCTTGACCTAGGAGCCCTTAATTTAAGCTGGCTCCTTTTAGCATTACCTAGACATTTTACAAACCATTTTTACTCTCTGGCAACAATAAGAAATTCAGGCCCATTTCATTTTTCCCTGCTCCAGGGCATGGACCTACTGTTCTCAAAGAAACTTGGGTTTCTTTTAGCAGAGAATAGTATTAGAAATAAAATTTAGGATGCTAGGAGTACATATCGAATTATTTCATCCAAGTAAAAGAAGTGGGCAGGGTGATATCACTGCAAAATCATTTTAATGACAATGCTGGTAAAGATAGATTTTTTTAAAACATAGGTCATGATTTACGTTACTGATTTCAGTGTAACTCCCCCTTCACTATATATCTAGTATCCCTTCTATTTTTAACTCAGGTTTTCTACTCTCTCGTGTGCAGTACCTTCTTACGAACTTTAATATGCTGCATTATACACTGTCATATGAAACGATGTGTGCAAATTATAACAGTGACTAAACTTTCTACAGGCTACTTTGATGAGTATCTGCTTACCTCTTGGATCCTACCTTCCAGCTGTAACTGTGCTTTTCTTTTACAATAATGTGGACCCTCATACTGTAGCCACTTCAGTGACACTATAAAACTATTTCTTTGTACTGCAATAGCAATGTGTTAACTAATCTTCGATAATTTTTAGGGAAGATATACAACATTTAGAACAAGATTTTAAATACTGCAAACACCTAGACACAGCTAGGCATACTCCTTTCTTTTAACTGTTGTAAAACTCTACTTTAATTCCACATTAGTTTTATCTGCTAGTAGAAAATAGTTTCAAATTTCCCTAAACTTTTTTCCTAGAGTCAAAACTCTATCAGAAGAAAAAAGAGTTAATCTTGGCAGATCCTTTATACAGTGTGTGGGACCTCTGGAAGCCCACTCATGCATCTCTATTCCAGCCGTGACTGGATGGGCTTACGACTTGCCAGAGAGGTGGCCTCTCCCCTCTCCGAGTGGAGTGCTCACTCAGCTGTTTTATTTCTTTGCATCAGAAAGAAATTGACAACTCTCTACTGTTTTCTGCCACCCCCAAATACCTGTGCATACACATGCACGTGCTTTATGGTTTTTCTCTTTTCTTTTAAGTGAGAAGAATGAAAGATTATGGAACAAGATTTATATATAATTCTAGTATGCCTTCTCTGTGATGTTTTTCTATTCATAAAAAAAGATTTTTCTCATATGATTCTTAATTCTTTGACATTGAAAAACCATCATTTGTTTAAACATTGCTCTGCCTTTAAATGTGTACAATTACTTGTTAACCACTCAGCTAAGAAACGTTTATAGGACCTTTGCCTAGTGTTTTGTTGTGTTGTGCTGGTAAATGTTTAACAATCTGCTGTTTGAAGAAAACAGAGCCCTGATTTGTAGCCTTTGCAGATTCCCATGGTGTAAGTACTCCCACCATTGCCAATTTCAAGCTACCATGTGATGTCACTGGAGGCAGGTTGGGAAAAGCGGTGTGCAGTCGACTCTCAGGAGCTGCCCAGCTGCCTCCAGCACATCACTGCCCTTGCCTGAGTTGTGCTGTTTCTTCCAAAAATGATCCTGGCACTTTCACCCCTCTGAACATTTAAGTATACTTGTGAGCTATTTTCTCTATGTGTCTCCTTCTAGAATTGATATTTTTAACTCCCAAGAGAATAGTTTCTATGCAGCAGTTCCCTCACAACTTCTGCCCTTGTGAGGTGTGGACAGATGGGAACACCTGACATACAGAATGCTGTCTGCAGAGTGCACGTTCTCACAGAGCTGAACCTGAATGAACTGAAATTTGCTCCTGTGAGGCCTGGGTATTGTTTCCTTTGGCAGGTTTGAGTTATTCTTCTTCCTGTGTGCCTCTCTCACTGCAGAGAAAACTGCCAGCTGACTCCAAGGTCCTGGATGCCTCAGATCTGGTGTACACAGTCAGCGCCCAGGAGTACTGGCAGCAGGCTCTCCTCACTGAGGAGGAAACTGGTAATGTGTATTATTTTATCTCAATCACTGAAATTCTCAAGATCCAGCTTGGCATTCTGAATTTCCTGCTCTAGAACTTTTTGTTCCACACTGCCAGCTTACCACAGTTCCTAACTATTAGCAATGTATTTGTTTTTCTCTCTGCACTATTGTGGTGCCTGAGACCACAGTTCCTTTCTTTTCCTCATCTTGCCATGAGCTGGGGAAGACCAGTGATCAGGTTGTCATTTCCTTAGTATTTGGCTTGAGATTCCTCACTCACCTAGCTATGGGGATTAGAAGTACTTATGGAGTATCTATTTTGTGCTTTGTCTGTGAGGGGGAAAAGTAGAAGACGTGGCCGCTTTCTTCATGGAACTTAAAATCGACATAGGGAGCTAATATTAAGCCATGTGCAAAAATCAAAGTAAAAATAAGGCTAAGTTAAATGGTGCCATGAGCACAACAGAAGGTCAGAGAACCCAGAGATTTGTATGACTGGAGTCCTCAGTGAGAACTGCTGAGTAGGCAGGATCTGAGCTTGACTTTGCTCTGAGCTTAAAATGCCTTGAAATGTGCATGCATTTCACTAAACGTGGATGAGTGTGAAAGGAGGTTAAGGAGCAGAAGGTGTGCAATATTCCTAGAAATGGAGGAACTGCTTGAACAAGGATACAAAAGAAATAATCAGCATGGCATCTGCAAGGAATAACACAGAAAAATTTCCACCTACAGGAATAGTGGGAAAAAAGTATGATGGCATCTGTTGTCTTCTGACTACCAAAGGATTAGGGCTAAGATACACTTCTAATGTGGAACCCCACTCATCAGAGGTTCTTATCCCTTTCCATAGCAAGCATGAGCTATTTTGATATTAAGGGTTATTCGATATAGACAGAAAAATCTAGGGAGACTGAAGAGCTGAGACTCTGGAAATGTGAGCACCTTTGGTTCAACTATTCAGGTAAGTACCAATCCAAAGGGAAGTGCCAGTTTTTTTAACCAACTTGCACTTTTCTATGAGGTTCATTTTATACTGCTAAATAAAATTAATATTCATCATTGCTGATCTCCCATTCATTATTGTTGATCCCAGAGCTGGAAAAAATGTTCTCAGAAAGGTTGATTTACTGGGCACCCAGCCCACACAGGACCTCAACTGTAGTTAACTCAGACTGCCATCCTGATCTGTTAATTTTTATGAATTCTATTTACTGTGAACTCAAGCCTTTTAAAATTGGTTGTGCTGCCTGTGAATTCCAGAAATCCCCAAGTTAAGAGAATATATCAGGAAAAGGCTCTTGGACAAGAAGAGGAGGATGGTGACCAAGTATGTTACTGAAGCCTTTGGCCTGTTGCTCCTCACAGACAGTTTCAACTGCACGGAAAACCTGCCGGTACGGAGGACCCCTGGCTGTATGTTCTCTGCCCCCTAGCCGGGGCAGAACACTCTCTTTTACCAAGTTAGAAAATTAACTTTGGATATTTTTCCTTTTCATATCAAAGGAAGATGCTAAGCTCAGAGAATCTGAAGAGGACAAAAAAATAATTAGAGGGTTAAAATTGTAACATTTGAGTAAAAAAGAAAGAAAGAATATTTTACCTGGGATAGATGGGCTGAGGGGACAATATAAAAATAGTCAGTGGCTGCTTTCCCCTCTCCTGAGACTTGAATAAGATGGAATGTGTTTTAGCGATGGCGGGAGTGATTTGTTTGTTTCTTTCTAGTGGAATACAGATGATTCTTGCTTATCCTACAGAGGCGTGTTTATACGTACAGTCCAAAAAAGTCTCATCTGTTGGTGGATTTCCTTCATGCCCTGGTGCTGTCAGGATCTCAAACTCAGAGCAGCATAGTAAAACAATGTGAGAGGAAGGAAACTAGGAGGGGCTTTCAGCAAAGAGTTTAGATGTTTATCTTCATGGTCTAAAATGCAGGCCTTCTAAATGACCAGTTAAAATTCCTTTTCTCATGGTAACAGACAAAATTATCTCTTTGATGGATGATTTTTTTTTTTTTACCCTGCTAAATTAGAGGCTGGGGTAGTTTTGGAGAAAACTCTGTTGCTGGAATCAATTATAACTACATTGCTTCCTTGTGAGGGACTGAGTATATACACGGACAATCATATATAAAAACAGAACTCTGACCCACAGCCTGTAGCAACCTGCGTAGGAAGCCAACCCCTTATCTCCAATAACAGCTCGGGAAGCCAGCCTGCTGTCAGTTAGACTTGTAGGAAGGCAGACTGCTGTCTCTAGTCACAATCCAAAAAGCTAAACAATAACTTCTGTAACAGTCAGCTCAAAATGTCCAGACCTTGGTTAATAACTGACAGCTTCCCTAATCTTTATCCCTGCTTCCAACTTAGAGTCAACTAGAGAAAGCCAAATATGCATCCTAATGAGTCACATAGGATCCCCACTTCTAGTTAGCCTGCCTACAGCTTCCCTGTGCCACTGGCCTCCCGTCAGGGCACACCTGAAGCCTTCCCACCCCTCTGCCTGCCTTTGAGTCTCTGCCAAACGCAAGTGGTGGTGGCTGACTCCTTTGCTATAGCAAGCCCCGAATAAATAGGCTTTGTGTGTTCTCATTTAGTTGGTCTTTGTTTATTTCCACACTTGCTGTTACCCATCAGATTTGCACAACCAAGTCTGACTTCTTGTTATGCAGAACAGGGAAGGGGTGGAGAAAGTCAAGGTGCACCAGTAGGGCTCTATGAGAGTTCAAGGGGCTGGTTCTGAGAATGTGGGAAAGTGAACCTGGGATGACCCTGTGGACTGGCAAGGAGAGGCAGATAATGGGACCTGACTCAATGTGAAAAGGAAGCAATGCCAACTGTAGATGGTCTATGCAGTTTGGGTCAAATGTCCACATTTTAAAAATTCTATGGAAAACTGACATATAGAGCGAGATTCACTGTCTTTTTTTTTTTAATTTTATTTTATCATACTTCTTGTCTTGTTTTGGTTTAGTTCTGTGAGAAAAAAAAACTCTCCTGAAATCTAAGATTTTCTAATTTGACTTTTGTCCTCTCAAATACTGGGGAAGGGTTTGACCTTCTAACTTCCCGAAAAAGTTTTTAAGGATGAAATTTGCCTCTCTGCCCAGCAAAAGATTGCTTTTGGAAGTGCTGATGGAAAATGAACCAGATGTGGTGCTGTGTGTGTTTGGTTTATTTTACAAACACAGGGACAAAGCGTTTTGCAATCAAACTCGGAGTGCCTGCCCCACACGCTCTCCTCTGGTGATGCGGAGGTGCAGCCTGTGGGGGGGCTCAGTCCTACCCTTGCAGCCAGACTTCAGGTGATGGAAGACGCAGAGAATGGGGCTGGTTGGCACTTCTGTGATAGCTTATTAGAGGGAGCTGCCAGCAGCTTTCCTCAAAATTCCTTGGCCTTGGATATTGGTCTCAGTCTTAGTTCTTTGATGGAAAGTTGGAAGGCAAAAGTTTTGTCAGTTCCTTTGCATTCTGAAAAAATCAGACCTAAAAATGTGTATGATTGATCATTTTTTAAGATTGTGACTCAAACCAAAAATTTAGAGTTTGGGTAGTTAGTGATTTTAAATGAACAGGGATCTAGTCATTATTTTTAAGAATCATAGGAAGTTGACTATAGCATCTCAATGTCGAATGGGTCCTGCATTTATTCATAATGGGGGCCAGACTTTCCCTTTCTTATCATTCTCTTGTTTATTCAACAAGGATTTATTGAGAGACTTTGTGAGAATCTTGCCAGTACAGTTTCTTTCGTGACTTCTTTCTTATTTCATTTTGATCACAGTGACACCACAAACTCAAAAGAATCTAGAGGGCACTCTGGAAATAAAAGATGGCTTATAGAATTCTTACTAGTGAAAACTGTGAAATCTCCAGGGTGTGCCTGAGACTGAATAGTCTCCATCGACTCTAAAACTCATCAACTGTAAGACTCCTGGAGTGTGGGAGTTTCAGGCTGGTTTCAGCATCATTCAGCCCCATTCACTTACTTCAAAGATGGTGCAATTGAGACCCAGAGAAGCTAAGACATCTGTGTAAGGTCACATGTGAATTTGGGAGCTATTTCTGTCATCAAATTTGGAATAGAATTTAACAACCTACATTATCTAGGGGCCAGCCCAGTGGCATAGCTGTTAAGTTTGCGTGCTCTGCTTCAGCAGCCCAGTGTTCGCCGGTTCAGATCCTGGGCGTGGACCTACGCACTACTGATCAAACCATGCTGTGGTGGGCATCCCACATATAAAGTAGAGGAAGATGGGCACGGATGTTAGCTCAGGGCCCGTCTTCCTAAAAAAAAACCGCCACAAAAACCCTACATTATCTTGCAGTTGCTCCATGCCACTCATTCACTCCACAAATGTTTATGGACTGCACTCTCTGTGTCACACCTTGGAAGAAAGAAACATGAATCACACAGTTTGTCCCTTCAGCAAGTTCCTAGTCCAGGGAAGGAGACGTGGAATGAGACAGCAGAGCAGGAGGAATGCTATACGCGGGGGTGTACAAAAGGCAGTACAAGAAAGAGAGCCCAGCTCTGCTGGGGGAGTCAGGGAAAGCATCACATGGGAACTGACTTCTGAGCTTTAGTCTGGAAGGATGAGAAGATGGGAACAGCATGTGCAAAGGCACAGGGTCACAAAAGGGAATGACACATTTGGAGAATGGTGGCAAGTTCAGGGACAGCTACGTGAGGGGACCTTTCGGGCAAACAGAGAGCTGATGGGGTGCTGGAGAAGTTGGTTGAGTCCTGGCTGTGAAGGGCCCTAAGTGCCAAGCTAAGGAGAAGGGCTTCCATCTGCTGCAGGTGGGCACTGTGTGGTTCTCACGCAGGGGACAGATGCTAGAGTTCCCAGCTTAGACTCTAGAGGTCAAGGTTGCCCTGGTGGTCACTCCCTTGTATTACTTGAATATATATTTTCCTCCCTGACTAGCCTGTAGTCTTCTTTGAAGAAGGGACCAAGTCTTTATTTTTGTGGTCCTGTAGCTTTGCTGTTCAAAGTGTGGTCCAGGGCCCAGAAGATCAGCATCACCTGGGGGCTAGAAATGTAGGATTCCAGGCCCTCAGATTTGAACAAACTTTCCTGGTGATTTGTACACACATTAAAGTTTGAGAAACACTATCCTCAAAAACTGCTTTGTGCACAGTCAAAGCTGTTAAATGTTTGTAGAATCTGATGTCATTGGAAAAATCTGTTTTAGTAACAATTAAATTTTTATTTGGATGGTTACTCCCCCAAATAGCCTTATGGAGAATACACCTGAAATAAGTTGCAGGAGGCATATGTTTCTTCTGTTCTCCCATCCCACAAAGCCTAAGGAGGTCTGTGCACTGAGGGATGCCTTATTGTGCTGATAGGAAGAAGTCAAACATGGGTGATTAGCTCAAGCAAAATCTTGTGTTGGTGGATAAGCTTAAAGGAAGCAAAGTTTGAGGAGAAAGTGCCTTTAGGGAGGGAGTGGCCTCACGCTGTTTATGGCCCTTGTCCCTAGAATGAATTCTTGCACATGAGTGGCCTGCGGAGATTTGTGGAAGAGAGGATGCAGCTGCTGGAGAAGGCCATCGACCAGTGCTTTGCTCATGTAGTACAGCCTCTGCAAGAAGGGGTTAGAAATGCCAGGGCTTCCTACCGGCGGATCCTCGGGGCATTCCTGGTGGTAAGTAACCCTTTCCAGGGAAAACCCTTGATGTTCGGTGAGGTCTGCCTAATCCCCAAGCTCTTTTTTCGTGATCCCATTGCTTTTGAAGGAAAGAAAGAGCTAGAAAAGATAGGAGTGAAAATTGCCTGTAGGAAAGCACATAGAGGGAATTGTTGAACTGTGCATTGTGAGGACCCAGGAAAGGGTACTTGGTTCAGTAGAAACAGTTGGAATTTAGGATCTGTGGGTCTTATTTTGAGTGGCAGCTCCACCAAACATCCACTGTATAGCCTTGGGCAAGGCCCTACACCCGTTTAAGCCTGTGGATTTTTCTTCTGTAAAATGGGGGATGCTAAATACTTGCCCTACCTATCTTACAGGGTTGATGTAAGGATCGATTGGATTACACAATAAGAAAACCTCTTGTAACCTCTCACTTGGCATGCAAATTGTTCTTTTATCTTTTAATTAGTTATATGGAGTTTCTGAGGGATGAAAATGTAACTGTAAGGCAGTATTTATCCAAGACTAAGGGGTGAAAAAAAGAGGCCCATTTTATTAGTTTTCTAGGGCTGCTATAACAAAATCCCACTTAAATGACAGACATTTATTTCTCACAGTTTTGGAGGCTGGAAGCCCAAGGTCAAGGTGCTGCAGGGTTGGTTTCTCCTGAGGCCTCCCTCCTTGGCTTGCAGATGGCTGCCCTCTCACTGTGTCCTCACGTGGCCTTTCCTCTGTGTGTGCATCCCTGGTGTCTCTTCCCCTTCTCATAGGGACACCAGTCATATTGGATTAGGGCCCCACCCTCATGACCTCATTTAACCTCATTTACCTCCTTAGAGGCCTTATCTTCAAATACAGTCACGTTGGGGGTCAGAGCTTCAACCCATGAATTTGGAGAGACACACTTCAGTCCATAAGACCTGTTGAGAGTAAGGGGTGATGGACAGCACTGCTCATGTGGCAAGGACGACACGGAAGTCTCTAGCACTGGGAGTAGTGCATAGCCTATGTTGTGTTTGTTTTTAGTAGAAGTTGGAAATTTGGAACGTTAGCAGTGAAAAGGTGGTGTGTAATGGAGCTCTGTGTTTCTGTGGGCCTTTTCATACACACAGATCATACCAACTTTCTAGCATGTGGCCTCTTCTGGATGTTCTTGTCTGTGTGTTTTTTTGTAAGAGCTTGTTTAGATATCTAGATTAGTAGGTATGTGTGGCAACTGGGATGAAAGGGAGTAGGAGCTACCTCTAATATGGAAAAAGAATGATGCTAAAAGAACTAAAGCTGAAAGAGTAAAGAAGTGGAATGATTCCAGGGTCACTGGAGAGGACTGTTAGAGTTTGAGCACAGGAGAATGAGAGCTAGTGCACCTTCCGCACAGCTGGTGGGTAGCTGAGTATCCACGAATGTGGTATGTTTGCATTCATGCATGCATGCATTCATTCATTCAGCAAAAGTGAAGGAAATGCTTACTCTGGTACCAGGCACTGTGCATTACCTAATTGAATCCTCACAACAATTCGGTGTAGTAAACATCCTTATTGTTATTTTAATTTTACAGCCTTACAGAGGCTGAATAACTTGTCCATGGCCACGCATGGGATCCATATCCACCGCAGCCCTGTCCAGCTTCAGAGCCCAGATGTCCAACCCCTACACTTGCCTGTTCCATCTCCCAAACTGTGCTCTGCAAACTATTGTAGGTACCTGTAATTGCCAACTAGTTACACAGTTTAACATTTGTAAATCCTCATAAAAGTAGGGTAGTTGGGTACCTTCACTCCTTTTTTTCAAGGGCTATTGACTACAGGCATGGGTGCTAGGAATAGCATATCCCACTGATGAAGGGCATGGGCTCTGGTTTCAGTCTCACTTTCCCCATCTATCAGCTGTGTGACTGTGGACAAGTTACTTACCTCCTTTGTGCCTCAGTTCCCTCATCTGTAAAATGAGGACAATTGTACTTATGTCATAGCGTTGTTGTAAAGATTAGTTGAAATAACGCATGTAAGATACAGCCCCGAACTTAATCAAGGCACTTTAGCATATAGAAAGTGTAAGAAAGGTCAACTGTTGTTATTATTAGGTTTGGGGGATAGAAAGAAAACCCAAATACAGTCCCCGCTCAGAGGAGATGAGATAACATGGAGTAATAAAAGGTGTCATGTGGTGAGGACCACACGAGAGCCAAAAAATTCTCCAAATGTTCAGAGGAGGGCGAGCATTCTGGTGGGGGCTGTGACAGATTGGAATCTTTTGGCTGCAAATCACAGAATCCCTAATTCAAGGCAGCCTGAAGCATGAGGAAATGTACTGGCCACATGACTGAGATCCAGAGGAAGTGTGGGCCCTGGGGGAGGGGTAGACTTAATGCAGTGGCTCTGGCCCTCTGTCTCTGCAGTCTCCCCCCCCCCCCCCCCACCCACCAGGTATGGGCTTCGTTCTCAAGCTGCTTCCCTCGTGATAACAAAATAGCTGTAGCTGTCCTTAGACTCACATCTCTGCAGCACAAGCTCTAGAGTAGGGTTTGTCAACCTCAGCATTATTGACATTTGGGGCCAGATAATTGTTGTAAGATGCTGTCCTGTGAATTGTAGGATATTTAGCATCCTCGGTCTCTACTCACTAGATGCCAGTAGCACCCTCTACTTTTCAGTAGTGACAAAATAGCTCCAGGTTGAGAACCACTGGCCTAGAGGAAGAGAAGGATGGTCATTTCTGGAAGCTCTCTCAGAAGAGTGAAGAAACTTCCCCCTAGAAACCCCAGCAAACCTTCCTTGGTATTTCTTTGGCTCTAAATGAGTCAATGCCTATTTCTAAACCGATCTCTGAAACAAGAGAATGCCCTGTGCCAAATAGTTTAGGCCTAACAGGACTAAGTAAGGGACAGCTGGTAATTGCCAGGAGAAGTGGGGAATGGATGTTGAGAAAGAAATTATGGAGCTTATTAGAGGACAACCAAATAACTCTTCTACAGAGGGTGATGTTTGAGTCAGGCCCTAAAAGATCAGCAGTATTTCCATATGCAGAGGCATGGAGCGGGAGGGGAGGCATTCCAGGTGAGGAAGGACAAACACGTTTGGAAGCCAGTAGGTGGGTTAGTCTGTACAGATAGCAGCGTTCTGGAGTACTAAGCTGGAGACAGTCAGGTTACTGGAGACTTTAGACCGGGTCAAAGGGTTTGAACTTGGTGAAGTTTCAAGCAGGAGAATGGCTTCATCAGAGCTATGCTGTGGGAAGCTTAATGTGCTCCTAGAGTGGGAAGAGATGGAGGCAGAGTGATCGATTGAGTCTCTTAGATTAGGTGAAACACAGTAAGGGTCTGAACTAGAGTCATAGCAGAGGGAATGGAAAGGAAATGATGGCTTGGAGAGCAAATTTGAAGGAAGTCTCAATCAGCCTTGTCAATAGTGCTGATATAGTGGATGTGGGAGAGCAAGGAGGTAAAGACTTCTGGGAAGATTTGCACCAAGAAAAAGGAGATCTCATAAATTGAAAAACGAAATAAGGAGGGAGGGCAATATGTTCAGTATTGGAAAGTATGTGTTTTGTATTTAATTCAGCTGGAATATCTAACAGCGTGATGGAAATGTGGGGCTCAAGCCCTAGAGAGGTGGGGCGCTGGAGGTCTAGATTTGATAGTCACTTTCAAGAACTTGATAGTTAGATCTCTGGGAGTGAATAGTATTGAGAAGGAGTAGAGAGGAGGACAATAATATGACATAACCTCAAACAAAGGCCACATTTAGGGAGAAGAAAAATAAAGAGGAGCCAGGAGAGGGAGCAGAGAAGGAGTAGTCTGAGAGGTAGGAGGGGAAGGAAATAGTGTAATGCTTATTTTCTTGTACTTATTTTTAGTGTAATGCTTAATTTCTCATTTTCCAGTAAACAAACCAAGGCAGGAAAGTTTGTTAAGAAGGAGATTATCAGATAATCTGAGAGGTTAAGGATAAGTGGGGTAAGGAAGAAGCTGTTGGATTTGGCCATTGAGAGTATTCATTGGTGACTGTGGTAGGCAGCCCCAAGACGGCCCCAGTGAGCCCCACCTCGTGGGATTCATGCCCTTGTGGAGTCTTGTCCGTCACAGAATCAGGGCTGGTCTCTGTGGCCAGTGGAGTGCTGCAGAGGGGATGGTGCATGACTTCTGAGATTAGGTCTCAAGGGCCACTGAGTCTTCCACGTGGGTCTCTCAGATCACTCACTCAGGAGGAAGCCCGCCTCCACATGCTGAAGTCAAGCAGCTATGTGGAAAGGCCACATGGAGAGGAGCTAAGCCCCTCACCAATAGCCAGTACCACCTTGCCAGCCCTGTAGTGAGCTCCTTGGAAGCAGATCCTCCAGCCCTATTCAGGAGACCATAACACCACCAACACCTCAGGGAACCTCACAGAGAAGCCCTGAGCCAGAACTGGCTAGCTGCTAGGGAAGGTCAACTTATGCATGCAGTTTGGACCCCTACTTGGCCATGTAAGAATGGGCCTTGGGCCTGGAACGCTTCCTTGCCAGGAGATGAAAGCCCTCACAGCCTGTGCTGGGCTTATTGTCTCTTGTGGGGGTCTCTTTCCCTGTTTTATGCTCAGTGTCTACTTTGTTCTACTTAGTGCAGGCGTCAAAGGCCTCAGGCAAGCTCCAAGATTTCTGTATTTCAGATCCGTAGGGGAGGGCCTGGGTCCTTCTTACTGCAGCACAACATGGGATGTGTGCAGCTACATCACCTGTGTCAGCTGTGGAGTGGGTCCACTGGCCACAGGGGACCCATGCATGGCAAGAGGCTGGATCTTGTGCACACTTTTTCATCTTGCTATAAGTAAACACTGTGCCACTTGAGCCTGGTGCACACGTTGTCTGTTCTCAGCAACCTTGTATCATGCACTGGTCTCTTCCCTGGGGAGCACTTATCTGCATTTTAACCTTGGCCACATAGCCTGGTCATCCAGTGGACAGTGAAACACCAACAAGTCATACTCGAGTTCCCGACCCACAGAATCTGTGAGAGATAAATGTTTATTGTTGTTTTAAGCCACTAAATTTGGAGTAATTTGTGTCATAGCAATAGATAACTAAGTGACCCTAAAGAGAACCGTTTCTATATGATGGTAGAAGATCCCAGATCACAAAACGTGAGTAAGTGGGCGCTGAGATGTGAAGGCACGAGGTGGAGACCACTCCTGTGAGACCATTTGCTTATGAAAGGAAGGAGCAATATCAGCCACCTTGAGGCCTTCACTAGGACTTCATTCCGTGAATTGTCCCCTCTCTCAGCTCTTTAATGGCGTCCTTCTCTGTGACTGCAACCATACCCAAAGTGTTCTTATTAGATAAGCAACTTTCCTTTGTGATCAGAAATTTGGGCAAATGTTTATATACTAACATCATATCATTATGCAACAGTGAAATAACCTAAATGTCTAATAATAAGAAAATGGTAAAATGAATTATTATACATCCATATGATATTATATTATGTGGCTATTGAAATAACTTTTTGAAAGTATTTACAATGAATTGAGGAAATGCTCATTATTATAATAAGTGAAAAGAGAAGAATATTAAAATATATATATATGGTATGATGCCAATTGTATCATGCTACACAGGCATTCACTTGAAACATATTGCCTTAAAACATGTATCATTGATTAATAATCACGAAGACTTCTACTGAAATTTTGGTCAGTGCAAATGTATTTTTGTTCTCTTTATTAAGGATCAGTATCTGGCTAAAATTTATCAATGTCTCTAGTAGCTCTAGTTTCATAATTTTTTCCTTTGATTTATTAATTTATTTCTCTGGGAAAAAATACTACAAAGATATACAAATCAATTATGTTTCATTAGATACTTAACAAAAAGTGTAAAAATTTGGACTAACTTGGAAAATCTGAAACATATACTCACAGTAGGGTCATAGCACATTTTCACTTAATAATTGCTCATTTAACAAATGTTTGTCAAGCGCTACTTGTGCTGCTGCCTGGAGGTGAGGACATGAAGATGAATAAGACATTGTGCCTGAGCTCTACAAGCTGATGGTTTAGTATAGCAGCCTGCTGAGAAAACAGACAAATACAAAATGGCATGAGAAGAGCTATGATCTGAGTGAGCACAGTGTGCTTTGGAAGCCCAGGGCAGGGGAGCCCTGCCGACTTGAGTCGTGACTGCTCTCCTCTCTGTCCAGTTTAATAATACGTTGAAAGATCAAGTTGTTTCTACTCTCCCCTGTGATTCTCAGTAATAACCTTTGGCCAAAGGCAATGCATTTCTGATCCTGTGACATTCTAGTTAATGCCTACTAACTCTACTAACTTATTGTTTAATTATCTAGAGGAGTAGAGGAAACCAGGGTTTTCACCAGACTCTGAAAGCTGTTTGCTTGAAAAATGGCATCTATGCCTCCAGGACTCTCACAAGAATAGATCTGAATGAAGCCATCACTCAACCCATCTATGACCAGATCGATCCTGTTTTTGGAGGCATTTTTAGGTAAAGGATCTTTCCTTTTGCTTCTTTGTGAAGAAACATCTAAAGAACGTTGGGCCAGAGTCTCAACTTTAAGAATTTGTGCTTTGGATCTGGAAGTGTAAAGAGTAGCTTGCAACTTGAGGAGGAAAGCTTAGTCTTTGGCAAAACACGAAAGCCTTCTTGGTTTGGTTTACTTAAAAGTTTCCCATGGTGACCTGGAGTACAGATGGAGATGTTGCTTTCAAACTAATATTATGATTCCTATTATTTGTCAAATATCTCATACATGCAGTAGGGGATAAATTTTCTTATGGATCTGAGCCCAGGACAGGGTATTTTGGTTGGAAAGTGTGGAGTTAAGCAAACACATAGCCTTCATAAATTTTCCTGAATGCAAAAAGGGAAAGTGGCTCGCTGATGACTCTGTTTGTTTTTGACATGCTGCATGCTCACACACTTACCAGCTGTGTGACCTTCATGGTGCCCCCTCCTTCCTAGACCTCCAATTCTTTTCTCCATCAACAGAAACAGACTCTCCTAATCCCACTGCAGCAGCCTGTATCGTCTCCCTCCTTCGCCTCTGGCATTTCACCTGGTCCACGGCAGCTGCTGCATGAACCGTTCTACCTTTGCTTGATTCTTACTCAGGGCCTCCCTTTCCTGCCCCCAACTTCCTTTGAACTCATTTAGGATTATGCCATCCCACCTACACCCACCCCACCCTTGTTACAGTCTGTAGGGTGAACTCCACATTCCTTAGAATGGTGTTCAAAACCTTTCACCTGGCTCCAGCTGGCCTTTCCCATCTCTCCCCGCACTGCTGCCCGGTGTCAGCCCTCTGCTTTAGCCAGCCCGGAGGGTCGCAAAGAGCAGTTGAGATGTACCAGGAGCTGTGCTAAGCTCTTTGCATGCATTATCTCATTGAGTCCTCCCAGAACCCTCTGAAGTGGCTTCTATCTTTTTACAAGTGAACAAACTGAGAGAGGAATCGTACAGCTTCCCCAGTGTGACCCAGCTCATAAGCAGAGAGCTGGGATTTCAAGCCTATGCCCTCGCCTCAATAACCTGTGGCTTCTTACTCCTGGGATGTTCTCACTATGTTGTCCCCATGGGAAATAACTCCTTCTTTTTTTCACTTCCCTAAATCTTACCCGTCGTTTAAGGTCTACACCTTAACAGTCCTCAAGTCCCACCCTTTCAAGTGGAAACACCTTGGCAGTGGAAAGACTGAGTTCTGAGGTTACCAGATCAGTGTCCAAGGCCTGGCTCTGCCACTTACTAGCTGTGTGGCCTTGAACACATCAGCAGCTTCTCTGAACCTCAGTTTTCTTATCTGTAAAATGGGCCTCATTGCATTGATATCATAGCTTTTTATGTCAAGGGCCTGGCACAGCACAGAGCCTGGCACATTGTAGGAACTTGGTAACTGTTAGATCTCATCCCCCTTCTCTTAAAAATTAATAAAAGGATACCGCTAGTTTCCTCTTTGTTTTAGCCCCATGGTGGTCACATTGTTTCTTAACATTTTACGTTGCTTTCTTCTGTAGAGCTGGAAAGCCCACTGGTTCAGCTTTGATGCCTCACATAGATGCTTTTAAGCACTCTCTGCAGGAGAAAATGACAGAAATTGGAATAAGAAATGGCTGGAAATATGATAGCTGCAAAAAAAGTTTCCTGATCCAGGAGGTAAGACCCTTATAAGGTGAAGAGGGTGGTGAGGTGGGGTAGTGACTTTTGCCCCACAGGATTTTGGAGGTTACCTGTCTCTCCCTGCTTGTTCCCCTGGAGTGTCCAGGGTCTGGGCATGTCTCATAGCAGGCACTGTGAGATACAAAACAGAGTGGGATGGGGGAGAGAGAAGCTGTCCTGAGACGGCGGGGAGGGGTAGGACACTGGACAAGCTTTGTTCCACTGCCAAGCAACCGATGGTAAATGCTGAGATTGTAGAGGAGACTCAGTTTCTTGGAAGAATCTGCAAGGGATCCTTAGATCTGTAAGAATTTGAATCCACTTATCACATTTTCACTAACCTCTCTATCATTTTTGCCACTATGAAGTATTATCCAAAGCAGTGAAGCTTAAAGAAGTGTCATTTTTTTGTAGATCACTTTTAGTTTTGAGTACTCAAGACTCTTGTTTGTGACCCATTTTCTTCTAGGCTGTATTAGTCCATTCAGGCTGCTACAACAAAATACCATAAACTGGGTGCCTTATAAGCAACAGAAATTTATTTCTCACACTTCTGGAGACTGGAAGTACAAGATCAAAGCACAGGCAGATTTGGTGTCTAGTGAGGGCCCACTTCCTGGTTTCATAGACGGCCATCTTTTCACTGTAACCTCACATGGTGGAAGGGGCAAAGGGCTCTCTAGGGTCTCTTCTATATGGGGAGTAATCCCAGTCTTGAGAGCTCCCTTCTCATGGCCTCATCACCTCCCACCTCCTAATGCCGTCACATTGTGGGGTTAGGATTTCAACATATGAATACAGGGGGACACAAATATTTGGTCCATAGCACAGGCCCAGCCCAAATTCCCTGGCAACCCTAGAGAAATATCCTGTGCCTCCCTGCCCTCCCTGACAGAGGGCCTGTTCCAGCACCTTGCCCGTGCCTGATTCTACTCAGCAGATATTTACCGAGTTGTTTGTAGGTGCCAGGCCCTGTGGGAAGCACTTTGGGATATAAAGTTGCTTAAGACAAAGTTCCTGCCTATGAGAAGCTCACAGCCTAATTGTGGAAACAACATATAAACAGCAAACCATAATATAAGGCAGAGGGAAATAGTGGCCACACACAGGGACACCTGACCTGCTTCTGTGAAGGAATTGTCACAAACGGCCTTTTGTTAACATGGATTCTCAGATAAGTGCCATCCTGGGAGACATGGAGGAACACATCCTCAGAAAGAAGAGGAGGATCTATGAGTCTCTCACCACCTCTGTTCAGAGCGACCTGAAGCCCTGTTACGAAGGTGGGGCAACATTTCCGCTTTCTCTGGGATCTCTCTGTCAGCTCCTCCAGCATCCTTTTCCGCTGCTCCCCCATCAAAGTATTTGTCCTTCTGCACCCTAAGTCCCCGGAACACTCTTACTCTACAAATTGAAAAACAAATACTTGGAAAGGTGTGGGGAGAAGTAATTCATGAGCCATTTTCATCTGCGTGTTTCCAGTTCTTTCTGTCCACTCTTTATCTAGACACTTTGCTTCTCTCCATGCTACATCTCAGCTAACTAAACTATAAAATCCATTATACAATTCTCATTCTTATTTTCTTTAAGTATTTGTAAACTCACTTTCTAGCTTCTTCTTGTTTTGGCGGTCCCATTGTTTTTTCTAGGGTAGGGGGAGTGGAATTTTGTAAGCTTCTGATTAATTCACTCGTTAGATTTTCTGAATGATAGTAATTAAATATTGAGAGTGTTAATTTTTTTGTATCATGTTATTATAAACGATTTCCACTGTATGGAAAATGGTGCTACATATATAAATATATGTAAGTGTGTGTGTATGTATGTATATGCGTGTATATATATATATATATATATAGTTCCTTTGCTGGTCCTTCTTTTGAATACTAAAGACTTCCAAGCAAGTCCTTGCTGTGGTGTGACTGTGGCTATCATTTTTGCCAGAGGCAGCTCAGATCACTGGCAAAAAAGCTTGTGAGAGAATGAAAGATGTCATCAGAAGAGGGGTCGACCAGCAGGTGGCCGAGGGCATGTTTGAAAGGGCTCAAGAAAGGATGCAACACCAATTTCAGCAACTGAAGGTATTCTACATCCAGAGTCTGAATTCCAGTCCAGAAGAGCCTCCTGGGGGAGGAGGGGAAGCGGGTACAGAAGACGGAAGAACTAGTAGTCATTTGGGCCCAAATAGAGCCAGATGCCTTCTGCAAAGTGGGCCCAACCAATGCCCACGATACTGGGAGAGGAGGCAGCTGGCGCTTAGCATTCTTCCTTCACTGCCACCGTGAATGTGGGTGTCGGGCTCCCCACTAGGGCTGTGACTTCAAAAATGCAGCCACTCCAGCTCTCTCTGGTATCTTTCCTCTTTAATAAGTCATCAATAGAACAGTAACTGTAATATCTAGGTGCGATCCTAAGCTCCTTACATACGTAAGCTCATTTATTTCCCAGCAAGTCTATGAGATAGGTACTATTATTGTTCTCATTTTCTAGATAAAAAACTGAAGCAAGAGAGAGACGTATCAAGAGGCCACACAGCTAGTAAGTTGCAGAGCTAGGATTTGGGACAGGTCATGTGGCTCCAGCATTTCCAATGACAGCATTATCTCAGAACAGGTTTCTTAATGAGGGAAATGTCTAGTCTACATAAAATGTCAATAAACTGCTATAGGTCAGTCAGTTATGGTACCTCGCATAGATTTAGGTTTGATGCTATCTACAGTCATGCACTGCAAAACGACATTTCAGTCAGTGACGGACTGCATATATGATAGTGGTCCCATAAGATTAGTACCATATAACCTGGGTGTGTAGTAGGCTATACCATCTAGATTCATGTAAGTACTGCACTCTATGATGTTTGCTCAATGATGAAATCGCCTAACGACTCATTTCTCAGAACGTATCGCTGTCGTTAAGTGATGCATGACTGTATTTTGGAAGACAGTTACTAATAGTTTCCTTGGACTTGAGTGCTTCTGTCAAGTACACTTGGACCATCTTGTCTCAGCTTGGGTCTCTTGGCTTGCCACCCGCCCTCTCCAAGTAATATAAAGTCTTTGTTTTAATCCAAACCACGGTTGGTGCCTCCTTGGCCATGTAAGTTTCCAAATTCTTCTGCCTCAATCCAGGCTTAGCTGATCCTTTCCTGACCTCCTGAGGAAGCTGGCTATTTGCTATTCCAGTCCACGTCTGAACCAGCCTGCTTCCTGAAGCATCTCCAGCCTGCTTCCACTCAATCTCCCCTCCTCCCACCACAGCACTTTTGGAAAATGCCTTTCTCCACAATATGAAGGATGTAATTTCTCTTGGAATGGCTAAGATGTATCTCAGTTACCAGTAGCAGTTTAGTTTCTGTCATTTAACATGCTATCGCAGTCTACAAAAACATGCAGAAAATTGGCCAAACTCTACAGCAGCCAATCCCCATTGAGTATATAAAAATTGGCCCATAAGGTACCCCAGAAAAGAGTTCCACTAAAAAATGATTAGTACATTGAGCATATACAAATATCTTAAATGACAGAAATGTTGGAAGTTGAAACTGGGCAAGACCTCAGAATGTTCCTATTCCCTGATCTTGCAGACAAGAAAGCTGAGGCCCAGAGAGCCTAAGGTAGCATTTCAAGGCTCACAGGTAGAGCTGAGACTAGAGCTCAGGGTTCTTGGTCTGTGTGTTGAAGAAAAAAGCATAAGAGTAGGAGTCAGGAGATCCAGGTTCCGGATCTGACCAGGCTCTGTCAGGCTAGAGGAAAGAGTCAGCTATTTTCAAAGGGAGGCAAGAGATGGTTAGAAGAGGGAAGGTGGTTTTAGTTGATAGAAGGACTAAGAGTAGCAAGAAGACGTTTCTCAGGCAGTTGGGAAGAAGAATCAGGTATGTCAAGTATGACATGTTGCACAAAGCAGGTACTCAGTAAACATTCATCCAGTGACTAATGTGTGACAGCATGGTGGGGTAGTGACAGGCTTGTCCTCTTCTTCTATTTCTGCTGTTGCTCTTCTCTGCCCCATGCCTCCATGCATCCTCATTAGCTCCTGATTCAGTCAGTTAGCACCAGAAGCACAATCCCCCATGAGTCTTGATGGGCAGGAAAGGAGATACTGAGGCAGGTGGGACCCCACAAGAATGTTGCCCTGATGACCACTGCGGACTTTGATGTGCTCTCCAGTGGCCCCTCTTGGACCTGGCTTTGATTTTGGCAGCACCAGGCTGTACACTGGCTGGTTGGGGAGTTGTGTAGGGTCCCTTTCATAAGACTCCCTTTCCCTTGGGCTGTGCCACCCTAACACAATGACCATCCTTTGTTGTATAGAATGGAATCACGGAGAAGGTGAAGGGCAGTATCGCCACCATGCTGACCCTTGCTTCATCCCAAGGGGATGGTCTCTACAAGGAGCTTGCAGGTAAATACTTAAAGCCTTTACATAAAGGGTGATCTTGCAGACACCCCTAGCTGTGGTTGCTTTTTACTGGGTTTAAAGAAATTAAGTTAGGAAGAATTTTCTGGGCAAGGACTGGAGATGACGATGACGATTCTGACTTTCCCACCCTTTGCTGAGCACCCAACAGAGACCAAGCATCATACTCAGGCTGTGTGCACAGCATCTCATCGAATTCTCACACTGACCGTCAGAGGTACATGTTACTGCTCCACTTTGCGGATGCAGAAACAGACACTCAGATTAGATAATGTGCCGATAATGTGCCGAAGGATCCATAGCTGGAAAGTGGCAAGTTCAAATCCATAACTCTGCCCTGCTGTCTCCATAAACCCATTCTTTTAAGTTGATAGCTTTTAATGAAAAGCCTGATTTTCTGGGGGCCTGCCCTGTGGCTGAGAGCTTAAGTTCACATGCTCTGCTTTGGTGGCCCAGGGTTTCACCGGTTCGGATCCTGGGCGTGGACATGCCACTACTCATTAGGCCATGCTGAGGTGGCGTCCCACATGCCACAACTAGAAGGACACACAACTAGAATCTACAACTATGCACTGGGGGAACTTGGGGAGGAAAAAAAAAGAAGATTGGCAACAGTTGTTAGCTAAGGTGCCAGTCTTTAAAAAAAAAAGCCTCATTTTCTGGTGGTGGTGGAGAAAGTTTCTCTTCATCCACCAGGAACCTGGGGGTACAATACCAGCTGTGTGTGCCCTATCCCTTTCATGCCGTGGGCTCCACCAGGCTCCCTGGTATTAACTGGAGAGTGTAAATTGGTGCAAAAAGCAATTAAGCAATTTCTAACAAAATTAAAAATGCACATGTCTTTTGGTCCAGCAATCCTACTTCTAGGAATTTATCCTATGATATCCTCATACGTGAGCAGAATGGCCTGTGGACAAAGTTATTCAGGGCAGCACTGTTTATGATGTCAAACATTGGAACAACTCAAATATCTATCAGTAGGGCACCAGTTAACTTAGCTACACAGCTAGTGGAGGACCATGCAATTGTTAAAAAGAATGAAGTGACTTTATATATAGTAGTGATTGAAAGTAGCGGTCCAAAACATATTGTAAAGTGGGAAAAAGTAAAGTGAAAAAAATGTGTGTAACGTATTGCCATTTGTGAGAGAAAAAAGGGAAATACATATGTATATGCATAAAAATCTCCATGGGATACACAGAACCTGGTCATGCTGGTTGCCTCCAAGGAGGGGAACTGGGAGACTGGAGCACAGAGAATGCACGAGACTTGCTTTGCACTCTGTATATTTTGTGCCTTTAAATTTTAAACCATGTGCACAGTTTCCTGCTGGAAAAAAAAAAAATAGATCTGATGCCATTTATGTGTGTCATTATGTCAGGGTGAAAGTGGTCAGAGCTATTTCCAAAGTAAAAGCCACAACTGCGGCTTCTAAACGTCTCTCCTGCACTTCTCTGTCTCACTGGAAATCGTCAGCATCCCCATCTCTGGCTGGTTAGCTGGACGGCTAACCTGTTCCTGATGGTCCCTTGGGAAGGAGATGCAGCACCCTCACACTATAATTTATTGCCTTCTCTCATGACCTTCTGTCTAGGTTTTCACAGGAACCTGTTTTAAGATTATAGTTATCCAATTGTGTCTTCTTTGAAGAGCTCCTACTCACCAAAGGTCTTTCAGCTGTCCAGGTCTCACATATAGACAATGTTCCTCTGAGTTTGATGTAAATTGCTTCTGCCATAATTTAAGACCATTCCCTTTTCTTCACCATCAAGAGCAAATATATACCATGTGGGGAGAAGTGTGCCAGGTGCCAAAGAGATCTAACACAGTCCCTGCTCTGAGTCTTACCTGGTTGGTAAAACACGATGTGTAAGAATGTGAATCACAATGGTGGACAGTATGCATTCACTCTCCAAGTAATTATAATCACCTCCTAGTGCTGGGCCGTGTTGTAGGTGTTGAGGATACAGCAGTGACCAATGCGGGAAAAAATCTCTGCCTTCATGGAGCTCACAGCCCAGCAGGCAGAAAGCAGGCAGTAAGCAGAAGGATAAATAGAATACGTGGCATGCTGAAGGGTGGTAAATGCTCTGGAGGAAAAGAAAGCAGAGGAAGGGGAGAGGGAGGGCTGAGAGCAGGGGACAGGGTGGTCAGAGAAAGTCTCACTGGGAATGTGACATTTAAACAAAGACCTGAGGGAGGGGGCGCACTCGGGCACCAGATTGTTGTTCTAGCAATTCAGAAGACAGTGTTATTCAGGGCTGGGGCAGTGGGGAAGCTTCATGGAAGCCGGGTCCTGGAGTGGAGCCTGGAAGCACAGGCAGGGTTTAAGAGGCGGCAAGGAGAAGGGCGACCTTCCAGACTCAGGAGCAAGACAAATAGACTCAGGGTTCTAACTCCCTTCTTGGTCATGAGCCCCACCGCTGGCCTGGCTCAGGGCAGGTGAGTCTGAGTCACGATGTGGGTGTGTGGAGCCAAGGGGATTGGAGAGGCACTCAGGAGCAACACCAGGGCCAACCCCAAGGTCAGTCTGAAGTGTCCCTTTAAGGAGGACTGTATCTGTCAGGGTTCTCCAGAGAAACAGAACAAACAGAGTATGCGTGTGTATGTATAGAAAGCAGTTCATTTTAGGGAATTGGCTCATGTGACTGTGGAATCTTGGTGAGTCCAAAATGTGATGGGGAGGCCAGCAGGCTGGAGACTCAGGAAAGAGTTGCAGTTCACGTCCAAAAGCAGTCTGCTGTCGAACCAGGAAGAGTTGATGTTGCAGATGAAGTCTGAAGGCAGTCTGCTGGAGAATCCCCTCTTGCTTGGGGGAGACCAGCCTTTTGGTTTAGTCAGATCTTCACCTGATTAGATGAGGTCCACTCACATTGTGGAGGGCAATCTGCTTTACTCAAGGTCCACCAATTTAAGTGTAAATCTCGTTCAAAAATACTCTCGCAGAAACTTTGAGCATAATGTTTGACCAAATATCTGTGCACCACATCCCAGACAAGTTGACACATACATTTAATCATCAGAAGGGTGTGATTTGATTACAGATCATAGGATGAAAACTGGAGATGCCAAAACAGAGCAGATTGACTTAGATTGGGGACTGCTGGGAAGAGAGAGATCAGGGGAGGGGGAAAGATGCCTGGAGAGGACTTAGGGGAGCTTTATTGTGTGGTGGCTTTGTATCCTTCCACTGAGCGCTTGTGAGGCCTTAGTAAAGACCTAGTGATTTCCCAGACCTTTTTTATTGGTAGATTTGTGTTCATTTTGAGGGTTACTCATATGCTGAGGTGAGCCTTAAAGTAAGAGCAAAAATGCCCATTTGATCGGGTTATTTATAAAACAAATCGATGGGACTGTCTGATCTCTAAGCTCCATTCTAGATCTTGCATTCTGGGCCAAGTGACCCAGGTCATAATAGGATTCTCAGGGGATTTGTTTTCTGGCGACACTTCTGAAAAGGACGCTAACTCCTGATACATGCTTTCTTCTCTTCTGTAGATGTCAAAAGTGAATACAGGGAGATGGAGAAGCTGCACAGAAGCCTGAGGGAGGTTGCTGAGAATGCCGTGCTGCGGAGGGGCATGCAAGAGTTCCTTCTGAAGATGTCCCCCAGCAAAGTTGGCCCCCCTACAACATAGATTTAATTCTTGGGGCTTAACACCAAAGGGATGAAAAGCAAGCCTGGAGCCAAATAAGTAGAATTACTTCTTTTAAGAAAAACCTAATAAAGAACATCTCCCAACTGTTTGGGCTTTATATGCAATATAAAATTCAATATATTGTTACTTCTGGCATGAGCTAATTCCTGAGCAACATTCATTTTTATTCTATAGACAAAAAGAGCTGTCTTGAATCCGCAATGGAGTTCTAAAGCTTTAGGGACTAGAAACTCGTGCTTCACCAAAGAAAAATATGTAAACGTCAAAAACTTAAATATTATGGGGAAAAAAACCCATTGCAAAATAAAGCATTAGGGATCCAATTCTAGTTCCTGTTTTAATACTGATGAGACTTTTTGGGTAAGGAGGTAACATTGTGCCATGGAAACAACATGGGTTTGAGAGAGAGACGGACAAGAGCCCTGGCTTCACCTCCTCTCGGGAGTATCCTCTACGATCAGTGCTTCTGAAACGTTTTGATCTGGGGACCCTGCACTCTTAAAAATTATTGAGGACTCTAAGAGCTTTTGTTTATGTGGGTTATATCTCTTGATATCAAAAATTAGATTAAAATTTAATTAAATTTTAAATTAAAATTAATTTAAAATTAAATTAAATTAAAATTAAGTTTTGTCTATGGGGGTTATATCTCTTATATCCAAAATTAAAATGAGAAAAATTTTAAATAATTCTTTACTAATTCATTTAAAAATAACAATCCCATTACATTTTAACACAAATAACATTTTTATGAAAAAACTACTTTCAAAAAAATTTAGTAAGAAGAGTGACATTATTTTATCCTTTTGTAAATCTCTTTACTCTCTGGTTTGATAGAAGACAGCTAGATTCTCTTGTCTGCTTCTGCATTCAATCTGTCATAATACGTCTTTTTGGTTGATGTATATAAAGAAAACAATCTCGCACAGATAGAGAGTTGGAAACAGCAGAGTATTTTAATAGCCTTTTCAAATAACTTCTGAATATTTTTCCTTATACTACTATCTTGAAAAGTAGTAGTTTTTTAAAGATTTGTGGTGTGGAATCTGAAACCATACTGGTGAACTTTTTTCGTAGTCTGTTACACTATAATACATCTCATACTTTGAATGTATCTTTTACCAATGCGTGATTTTGACATATCAGGCGTTGGTCATTTTGAAAATATTTGTTCACTGAATTAAGCAGATCTTCCAAATGTTGGAAGATTACACATTTCATTATGTAATACCAAAAAAATCATATTTGTTAATGTCTCTTCCAACTTCACCAGGAAATTCTTGAAGTATTGGGAAGCTGTCAAGCTCACAGTGGAGGAGACAAGTTTTATAAAATTCCAAAATTTTTTCCTAAAAGCTTATCTTATCATTGGCAACAAATACCATTGTTTTCTTTGAGGTGATAGGTTCATTTAGTTCTTTTTTGAGAAAAAGTCCACCATATAACCAAATTTGATTAACGATAGTTTGTCTGTCAATCATTATTTCAAGTAAAATGATATTCCATGAAAACAATGTCAAGTTCAAGTCACAACTGAATCATGCAAGTGCTTTCCGTTGAGGCAGTAGAAGAGCTTCAAGTGTAGTTCTCTTTTTGTCACACAACATAGTAAAATGGCATCTACTTAAGGGTCAGTAATTAATAGAGTTGATAACTTATACTGTTTCATTAAGAACATTCTTAAGTGAATGTGCTTCTTTTTTTTAACTGCAAGTGCAGGATAATGAGAAATACAATAGCTGCTATGTAGTTTGGTGCCACTGCCTTGATTCACACTAAGGGGCAAGTGGTTTTACCCACCTTTGTTTTTAATATTTAATATTTAATATTAGTGCAAGGGTCACCATAGTAAAAAGGAAAAGGCAAACAAGATTTTAATATTATAAAAACAGTTTGGCCTAGCAGACCCCAGAAGTGTTTCAAGAACCACACTTTGAGAACCACTGTTTTAGAGAAATCACTTAAACTCCCTGAGCTTCAGGTTATTTACCTGTAAAATGGTGATAACATTAGTACCTACCTTGAAACTATGAGGGTTATCAGGAAGTTTAAAATAAAGCCTACAAAGTTTTGACAGATAGTACTTAAGAGTGCTTGATAAATGGTTATTGTTTTTGGGCAGAACAGAGTAACAGTGTAATGACTTATTTATTGGGAGACTTGGGTTCTAATCTCAATTCTTCCCAGTACTAATAAAAACTTTGACAATTCCTTAACATCTCTATGATTTCATTTCCTCATTTACGAAGTAAGAGAGGTGAACTGGATGACATAAAAAGTCTCTTACTGCTTTGAAATTCTAGGATTTTAAGGTCTTCCCTCCTTGTTTTAATGTTCTTTTCATTAAGTAAGATAAAAAAGGATTCATCCATGTAGGTGGGTCTCAGAGTTTCCTTTTCATTTTGAACTTCTAAACATATATAATTCTATTGCAGTTCACATAGTTTCACTTTTTATATTTCAAGTGAGGAGTGTGGAAGACATCTACTTGTGGCCATGATAGAGTAACAGGGGCCAATTAACCCTCTGGCCTTCAGCCACTAAAAAACCAAACAAAATTTATGAAACAACAGTATTCAGATATGGAAGAATTGTCAGTGTGAGACAATGATCTCTGAAGAAAGGGAGACAAACAAGGTGAGCCCTACAATTGCCTCATCCTGCTGCCTAGACAGAGTTTCCATACTATAGGGAGGGGGAGCCCAAACAGAGCCCGGTGGTCTCCCTGAGTTAAGGAGATGGAGTTCAGAGTTTGGGGAGTCCAAGGTGAACAGAATTCACAGGGTGGAGTACTGTGGAGAAGAGAGCTGTATTCCACAGAGAGAAAGTTGCAGAGATATGAGGCAGCATCCCTCGAATCTTTGAGTACTGATTAACACATGCAACTACCAAGAAAGAAACACTGGAAAGGAGCAGGCAGAAAAATCCCCAAATCTCACATCAAGCTAGGAGCAGCCAGAATCAACAGACCTTTTCACACCTGGGGCAACAAGTAGAGTCCTCAGAAAAACATTACCTTGTAATAGGGTAAAAACACTCCTAAAGGCTGTTGTGTACTTACCTGACAAAATTTAAAAAACAGCTTCAGAAGGATCAAACTGTTTCCAACTAACTTAACTGCATCCTAGAACAAAACACAAAAACATTTAAAGGAATAAAAAATTCCAGCACCCAGGTGACGTCAGCATCATGGCAAAGTGAACTTGCCTAGGACTCTCTCCCCTCAAACATACAACAAAAAGGAGCAACCATATTTCAACAGAAAATACCCTAACAGCACAAAAACCTCGGAGAGACACATGGCCGCAGGATGGAGGGTGGAGAGGCGGGAGCCTGCCTTGGAGGAGCTGGAACGGGGTAAGAGAGAACTTTCTTCCTCCTCTAAAGACTGCGGTTGCTGCCACAGGAGGCTCCATGAGGGAAGGAGTGGAGGAGGGGTCAAGCATCCACAGGATCACCCAGGACTCCCTAGTGCCCTTGCAGCCTAGAGGGAAGCCCTCTAACAGGGTGAAAGCTTTCATGTGGGGTGACCTCATCAAGCCAAGAGCCCAGGAGACCAGGTAGGGAGAGCTGATTGGGAAACCCGGGACCGCACGCAGGAGAAAGCGCCCCTCCCCTGACCCTCACCGTGCCATCTTGGCTGAAGGAGGAGGGCTCAGAATACGTGGCTATCGACCCCCACCCAGTGGCGATAGGCTGTAACTGCAACCAAATAGTATCAGAATGGGAAAGACCCATCCTTCCAGCTTCAGGCAATTTATCAAATCTCCAGACCAGAGAGAAAACAAGCATGCAGAATTCAGTACTGAAGACGCAGAAATAAGTAAACTAAACAACACTGAATTAAAAAATAGCTATCATCAAAAAACTCAATGAGGTAAAAGAGAATATAGAGAAACAATTCAACAAGTTCAGGTGCTACTTCACGAAAGAGATTGACACTATAAAGAAGAATCAATCAGAAATATTAGAGATGAAAGACACAATGGAAGAGATAAAACAAAATACGGATTCCCTAAATACTCATGTGGACATCATAGAGGAGCGAATCAGCATAATTGACGATAGATGTGTTGAAATGCTCCAGACAGAGGAGGAGAGACAACTAAGACTAAAAAGAAATGAAGAAAATCTACAAGAAATATCTGACTCAATGAGGAAATGCAACATAAGTATTATAGGTATTAAAGAAGGTGAAGAGAAGGAGAATGGAGCAGAAAGTATGTTCAAAGAAATAATAGCAGAGAACTTCCCAATTCTAGGGAATGAGAGGGAAATATGTGTGGAGGAAGCCTCCAGATCTCCTAGATTTGTCAATGTAAAAAGACCTACTGCAAGGCACAGGGTAATAAAATTGGCAAAAATGAATGACAAAGATAGAATACCCAGGGCAGCAAGGCAGAAGAAAATAACCTACAAATGAACCCCATCAGACTTTCAGCAGATTTCTCTGCAGAAACCTTACAAGCTAGGAGAGAATGGAACACCATTCAAATTTAAAAGACAAGAATCTTCAGCCAAGAATACTCTATCCAGTAAAAATATCCTTCAGATATGAGGGAGAAATTAAATCTTTCCCAGACAAACAAAAGCTAATGGACTTCATAGCCACAAGACCCCCACTACAAGAAATCCTCAAGAAGGCCCACATACTTGGAAAAAGAAAAAAAGGGAGAAAGGGGTCACAAAACACAAAGTAAGGAGACAAAGAGGTAGACAGAATCAGAATAGGATAGCAAATATTCAGCTATAGCATTAGGCTACAGGGAAGAAAAGCACCAAAAACAAAGACTGTCTTGTCACTTTAACCACAGATGCACAATGCAAATTGGAATAAGATATGAGAAAAATAACTTAGGAGGGGAGGAGGAAAGGGACCAAATGAGTTTAGGCTAAGGAAATAAGAGGCCATCAGAAAATGGACTATCTTATACATGAGATTCTGAATACAAACTTCAGGGTAGCCACTAAACTAAAAATCAGAACAGAGACACAAAAAATAAATAAGGGAAAAACAAAGAAACACATCATAAAAAACTACATAATTCAATGGGTAGACCAAAACACACAGGACGAGAAACAAAGGAAATACAGGAAAACCAGAAAATGAGTGATATAATGACAAC